CTTGACTTTGCCGGTGAGCTTGTCCGGGCCGGATTTCCGGTGTTTCTTCATCGAGGCCACGTCGGCTTGTTCAAGGATTTCGCGGATGTGGGTGGTCGCATCGACGTCATCGACGCCTGTGTCTGTCATCGACCGGACCCAGATCGAGAAAATAGACTCCTCGGGGAGAGTGCCGAGCTCCTTCTCCTTTTTGACACCGCCTTGACCGCCTGCAGCAACTCGTCCTGCATTCCTGCAGCTGCTCCTCGCGCTCCTCGACGATGACATCACAGGCTTTCATGGCATTCTCGTTTTTCGTGTCGAGGTCGAAATGGGAGCAGCGCTTCAGTAGGGCCTCCTCCGCAGACTTGCTGTCGCCCAGCGACTTGTTCAGCCGCTTCTCGCGATCGCTGTCGCTCTTCTTCCCGCGCTTGATCGTCATGTCCAGCGCCCGCAGGTGGTGCTCGAGCTCCAGGTAGATCGCGCGTTCGGCAGCGGGCAGCACGATCTCGACCACCTTGTCCTCGAACGGGATCTCGTCGATCTCGGGCACGTTCTGGCGCACGAAGCGATCGAGGAAGCGCTGTCCCAGCTCATGTCGATTGGCATGCCACTCGAGCGAGTGCACCTCCCGGAAAGAGTGGAACTTCTCCGCATCCGTCTGCTCCCGCTTCCGCTTCTTGACTTCGGTCGATTGGCCCTCGCCGTCGTCGTCGATGCCGAGATGAAGCCCCAGGAAGGCCGAGATCGTCTTGAGGGCGGCGAAATCGTGCACGGGAGGCGTGCCCGATAACCCAGTGTCGCTCCGCAGTGAGATGGGTGACGAGTGTGTGCACCTTGCCGTCCAGGTACGTGTACTCGTCGACGACCTTGCGCGCAAAATGGAACATCTCCAGCGGAGGCGCGAGCATCTGCGTCCAGTCTTTCCGCGTTTTCGCCGTGTCGAGCTTCCATGGATCAGAGATCACTCGTTGTTTCTGCTTTTTAGCTGGCCGGCCGCTGGTCTCCGAGTCCTCCGAGTCGTTGTCGGTCGTACTAGATTTTCGCCGCTTCAAGGGTCGTTTCTCAGCCTGAGCTTTGGCCTTGGCTGCTGCTTCTTGGCTGCGGTGCGTTTCTTGGGTGCCTCATCCTCGTCCTCCTCATCGAAATCTGACGACTCGGGCACAGACGTTGCAGGCGTGGTCGGTGAACTCGTCGTCCTCGTCATCATCGTCGTCGTCTTCATCATCCACAGCAGAATAATCTTCGTCATCGTCCGTTGACTGACCTCGTTTCGCTTTAGTTTTGGCTTTGGCTTTAGCTTTGGCAGGCGGTTTGGCCTTGCCGCGAGCGGCAGCTTTCTTGGCTACGGGCTCATCGTCTTCCTCGTCATCTGAGATAACGATCGTGGCAACCTTCTTGGCGGCGGCACGGCGAGACCGTTTGGGTTGTTCTCCTCGTCGTCGGAGTCAGAGTCTGCCAGCGGCATCTCTTTGCCAGCACGGCGGCCTGGAGGAAGGGGGATAACAACTTCAACCTTGCGTGAATTGGAGGATGTGGGCGACGGGTGCTCGTCGACATCCATCTGGTCATCGACAAGCTCTGCCACAGCAGCTTTGGCCTTGGCTTCCTGGGCCTCGCGGTAGGCACGACCCTTGAGTCGCTTCAGCAGAATCCGAGCCTGGGCAGCCTTTTCTTCAGCTACGGTCGGATGAGCAACTATTGGAGCCTGCACGAAAGAAACAAACACACCGATCTGAGCCTCCTTGATCTCGTCCAACACGGCCTTGGAGCCCTCGTCCCTCAACCGATCCACTTGCTTCTTCAACGACTCGCATACTTCATCCAGCCTTGCATTGAAGTGCCGACCGCCGGACGCCGAGGGTGGCAGAGACCCGTTCGCCGCGAGCAGCTCCAGACTATCGAGGTACGCCGTGCCTTTCTGCAGACTGGAGGCAACGATCACCAGATCCGCATCTTGGATGTCCTCGATCGACACTTTGTAAGGCTAGACTGGGTACTGAGCACGACGATGCTGAAGTGACCTTTCCTAGCGAACTTCTGCGCCTCGCTTTGCCACTGGCGGGTCAGATGGGGCGGTACCACTATCAATGTCGCTTTCGTGCGGATCTTGCCAGCCATCGCCCCGGTCTGCTCGGCTTTCTTGAACTCTTTCGCCACCGATTTCGCGTTGCAGTCGATCAGCCCGAGCGTGATGGCTGTTTTGCCGTACCCAACTGCATCGGCAAGAACACCGCCTCGCAGATGCACTTTGCGCGTCGCGCGGCCTTCGGCGCGCCAGCCGAGAGACGGGAGCATGGCCTCGGAGATCTCTTCCTCCAGGAACGGGCCCGCATCGGAAGATTCCTGCTGAATCATCCAGTGTAGCGAGCGCAACTGCTCCGGGCGCAGAGTCATTTCTGTCTTGAAGTTGGGCGGCTGCGTGTGCTCCTGGTCTTGCTTGTTGCTCTTGATGACAAATTTGGGCAGGGTCCTGTTCACAGTCGCGACGTAGCTTGTGTTCAGCTTCCACGAGACCTCGGGCCGCTCGGGACGGTTCGCGGTCGGAAGACGGGAGAGGGCGCGGTGGACGAGGGTCGGGGCGTTGAAGCCGACACGGACAGTCGCTAGATCGGCAGCTGCTGGGTCGATCATCAGCTGTGTCACGAACGGACTGGGTCGTGTTTTGAGACTGCGCTCGTAAGCGCCGGCCTGGATTGAATCTTCCAGAGCAACAGTCTTGTTCTTTCCCGTCTGCACCCATTCTAGCTTGGGTGGCCGCGGTGCACAGCGGTCACAGTGGTGGAAGTGGTCGGGGAGATCGAGTGTGTGCCATGTGCCCGAGAAACGATCGTCGATGTGTCGGATCCGCTCGAGCAGCCACGCCAACTTGCGGAATACAGGCCGCTCGGACACCTTGTCTATCTGTCCCCACTTCCCGCGGGGCCATTCCGGGCCCGTTTCGCCAGGAAGAGGCACCCGACAGACCAACACAGCGGAGGGATTCCCGCAAGCGTCGTGCGTCAGCTGAAGCACGTCCTGTGGGACTGCATATCGGGCGTCGGGATGATGTGTAGGCTATCAAAACTCGTTCAAGTTTTTCTTTTCCGTACACGAGCTCTGCACCACTCACCACAAGCCGGAGACTGTCCGAGGTTTTCCAAATGGGGAACCGACATATGACCTTGCTCACTTTGGTCGTGTCTGACGGGCGCCACTTCGAGTCCAAGATCCCGACGATGGGCCGGGATTCGCCGAACTCGTACCGTCGAGGGCTGATTGAGAAGACAAAAGAGTCGTTGTCCTCAGTCGTGCGTTCTGGGTCGAGCAGCATGAACAAAGGCGGGGAACTGGAGTGCAGATCCTCCTCTTTGCGATGCAGTGCTCCGTTGGCGGTCCCGCATTGATCCAAAAGCGTGTACACGCCCGAGATATCACGATCGAATTGAGTGTTGGACGGAGCACTAATCCGCAGCTTCGAGTACACCTTCTTGTCCCGGAACTCATCGTCCGTCAAGCCCAGCCTCGTTTCCCAGGATGGAACCAGTTCGCCTTCCCCAGAGATCTCGACCTGCGCGCTCGAGAACTGAGGCAAGCAGACTTCCCAAGCGCCGGAGAAGAGGCCATCTGAGCAGCGCAATCGAGCCACAGGCGCCTTGAGGATCTTACGGATCTCTGCTCTCGCCGGCTCTGTCTCGCCGGCTTTGGCGTACAGCCGCCACTCGGGCTGCTGCGGATGTAAATGCAGTTCCAGCTGCGCAAACGGAGATTGGTAGCACGCGACCCAGATCTCCTGGCGCTTGGGCTCGATGAATCGCAGCTCTGCTTGAGCGATGCGCTGCACGGAGACAGCCCATGACTCCGAATAGTCGTCGTCACCCTTGAGTGCATCGAGCAGCTCTTTCGAGATGCCCTCGAATGCTAGACACATCGGCAACGTCGCTTTGATCTGATCTGCAAACTTCGATGGATGGACGCGGGTCTCGGTCACGAGCGACGCGTTGTGCTCTGGCCGACCCCCACACCGAATACAGGAGGTTGATCCACAGTCCTTGCAGCGGTTGATCGGACGGCTCGTGATGTCCGTTCGGCCCTCGCACATGCACAACCGCGCACTCTCGTGAGCAAGCTTCAGCAGCTCGGGTAGCGAGCAGTCTGAGCTCGCAGCAGACAGATCCAGCGAACGCGAGACCAGTTTGTCCTCGCCAATGACGTCAGCAATCCCTTGTACCTCGTCGTCAACCTCCATCGCATCAACCGCTTTGACACCCTCCTTTAGCAGGTGCATACCGGACACGAGCGCAGCGAGAATGCACGCGCCGACGACAGTAGTCGACATGGCATTCCCTGCCAAATCGGCCAACTGATCCTCCGTCTCACGCGTTAGAAGTAATTTGTCCACAGGTAAGCCTTGCATCGAGAGCGCCTCCAGCCCCACCATTGGCCCGCCGCGGTTCGTGATGTACGGAATCATCGACGGAGTGAGACACGGGGATATTCCGGTCCGCGCACCCAGAGAACGGTCCACGTTCTGAGAGAGATTCCACACTGAGCTGTTGCACAGTAAATAAATGTGGTCATCGAGCAGACACGACTGACGTTTTGTACGACGGGTCGATGCCTTTCTTCGCTGAGCGGAGGAACAAGATGTCCATCAGATCCCAGACACGCTCGACTTGACCAACGCCCCAGTCAGCCCAGCAGTAATCAGGCATACGACACGACCCGCCTAGACTCTTTCCAGCTCAGAGCATCAAAAATTGTGGGAGCACACGCACCATCTTCCCAGTTTGTTAGTGGTCGCTTCTTGCCCAACATCTCCTCGACTCTAGCACGCTCATGTCGTCGCTCACATCGATTCCAATCTGTCCTCCCCGTCTTGCGGTCAACTGCATTATAGCTCTCCTTGACCAGCTTTTGTCGTGCTTCGTGGATTCGTGGATCGTCCGTCGCGAGCAGAAATGCGTCCAAAGGTGAAGACGCGGGTCGCTTCAGGTCCTCGGTGACCAACCGGTACCACTCGTCAGTGATTCCAGAGTCGGGCTCCGCGTCCGAGTCATCATCCCTTGTGTGCTTCTTCTTCCACTTGAAGCCAGGCTTCGAACTCGTCACGTCTTTGCTCTTCCCTCGCATGTCGACAGCGATCAAGTACACCCGCGTCCTGGTATGCGCAATGTAATACTGCTTCGTGTCAAATCGGGCAAACCGAGCAGCGTAGCCAATCTTCTCGAATTCTTCCTCAACTCGAGGCCATGGGGCCGAGCACACATTTTCCAAAATCACGAGCGGCGGACGGTGACGCTTGACCCAGGACATCATCCCACGGAAAGTCTGCCCAGATTCACCTTTAGCGTCGATGTCCTGTTTCTCGTTGTTGAGGTTGGAGTAATCAACGCAAGATGTCCCGGCGACAAGCAGGTCCACATTGCCGGGAACAGGTTTGAGTGCACCGTATGCAGTATGTCTGTTGGGGAGTTGGTTATGTATGTTCAAGTATTGTAGGTATCATCACGCACGCTTCATCCCCGCCCAACTCGCAGACATCTCTGAACAACAACGGAGGGTGGAAATTTCGTTCTATGTAAGCCTGTTTGAAGGGCTCAATTTCACACGAAAAGACGTGCTCGACATCCAGGCCCAACTGGTGCTGGTCGAGAACGGCCTTCCCAATCAACTCCAGTGCCAGTAAGGGTGATTCAGTGCCGGAACACATCGTAGCAACGCGAAGCTTGCGGCCCGCGAGGCGCTGCGCGACGGATTGTATCCTGGGGATGCGTGATACGAGGTCGGCGAAGATGGCCGGAATCTCGTTGATTGGGGGTAGCTCGGACATCTCAGGGATGACTTTCGCGAGGTCTCGTGTGGAGGATGTGGTAGTGGTGCGGGTCGCGTTTTGGCCTTCGTCGTCCGAAGACACAGCTTCACTTCCAATTACCGCGTCTCCGTCGTCTCCGTCGGCGACAACGACCTCGTCCTCCTGCGCTGCACCATCCGAATCGTCGTCGGTGGCTTTCGCTCTACCTTTGGCCTTGGAGGCAGCGGGTTTCTTGAAGAACGATTGGATCGACTTTTGACCTTTGGCTTTGGCTTTGGCTTTGATGCTCGCAGAAGGTTTGTCCTTGGCCATGGAGATGGAGCAGTGAAGTAAGAAGAGAGAGGAACTGTCACGGACGCGACACGTAACGCGTGTGACGATGGCGTTTTTGAAGTCTGCACGGACCCCGGCAGGGGTTCCCACAAGTTCCCACGCTTCCCCGCGCTCTGTCACTGACAACGATGTCACTGCGAACGAGAATCAGGAGAGTGTTCGGGAATGATGCATTTGACTGGCCTGACAGATCGTATCTCACTGACTGGTCTGTCCGCCCTAGAGCAAAGTCTCAGCCTAGCCTAATACCAAGAACACAGGCTTGTCGTGACAGCATTCTGGATCCTTTCTGAGGTCGCAGCCCGACTACCAGTTTTCGAACGTGACTTTCGTTTGGATGATACACTCATCAGCCATCCGCATGCGAAAAGCCAGTCAGTGCTCGTGACCCCTCTTATTCCCAACTTACCGGATTGCACTGGGGCAGAATCAGCGGCCCAACAAACCATCTCATTGCGCTCATTGTGCCTGGGGCACTTGCGCTGGCCGGCGGCATCTATCGGCGCTCACTCTTCGCAGTGCATCATGGGGTGCTGGCGCTTCTTGCGGGCAGGGGTCTGGCGCGGGTGTTCACAAACGCATTGAAGAACAGGTCTGTATCTTGTCCTCAGTCTCCTGCACTCAAATAAAGCTTCTCTAGAATCGGTACCCTGTTCGACCTTGCCTTGTCCCCGCTAACTCGGTCTAGGGAGATTGCGACCGGATTTTCTCGCTCGTTGTAAATGGGATGCTGTCGAGTCTGTTTGCACAGGGTGAGATCCATTTTATCTCGAAGAACCTATACGGACCTTTATTTCTGCAGCAAACATCATGATATCCTCGACGGACGACGTTCCTTCCCATCCGGCCACTCATCAGCTGCATTTGCGGGGATGACATTCTTGTCGTTCTGGCTAGCAGGACAGCTTGCGGCGTGGTGTTTCCATTCTCCTGCCGCCTCTGGCTCGCTGCGGTCAAGCCGTCTGGCCCGTTTCACACTGACGTTGGCCCCGCTCTGCTGGGCTATCTTCGTCGCAGTCACCAGACTCGAAGACTACGTGCGAAACTCGCTTCCAAGCTCCATCATCATTCTAATCCAATCGCTGAGGTAGAGACATCACAAAGAGGATGTTATCGCTGGAGGCCTGATTGGCATCTTGTGCGCTTCGATATGTTATCTCATTTTCTGGCCGTCTCCTTTCGCAGCCAAGAGCTTCAGTGCTGCCCAAATTGGACAGCCTCGACAATTGATCTCTGCATACGAACTGGACCGCCCAACGGGGGATGACTTCGAGTTATCTAGGCTAGAAGATGATATGGATGTATGAATAGAACATGATTAATTGGCCCGACACCAGTAGACGATGTGCGAGCTTGGTCGGCGCTGGTGAGGCCAATTCAAACGCTTGGCAAAAAGGAGATGACGCACGTCGCGATCGTGTGATCAATTCTTTGGCACATCACCACCGCTTCACCTCGACGTCCACTACATCTAGCATCCTCTGCCAACGTTCACATCCTATTTCTGTCTTACACATCCTATATCCGCATCTTCGGCCTTCCGAGCTTCACGAGCTGACGTGGCTCGAGCCTTCACCGTCATGGACGCCGCCCCTGCTTCGCACATCGTCCTAGGCATCTCCATCGGCCTTTTGGCCTCATGCATTCAGTCTTTGGGTTTGACGATTCAACGGAAGAGCCATGTCATGAACGAGGCGCTGGACCCGGCACATCAGCGTGTGGAGCATCGACGACCGTGCGTCTTCCATTCCTTCCTTCGCTGCTTTCGGGACGCTCGCTTACACGTGTGTCTGTGCCTCCCACTCACAGACTCTGGCTCGTCGGCTTTGCGATATTCATCTCCTCCAACATCGTCGGCTCGCTCGTCCAGATCGCGTCCCTCCCAGTCGTGATTCTTGCACCCCTTGGTGCTGTTTCCCTCTTATGGAACGCGTTCTTCGCCCGTTTATTATTAGGAGATGTTTTCTCTCTGTGGATGATTCTGGGCACGCTGTTTATTGCCGGCGGTGCAATCTTGATTGCTGTATTCGGTATCGTGCCCGAGCCGACGCGCTCTCTGGAGGATCTGCTCCGTCTGTTCAACCGACCGGCGTTTGTAGTGTACTTTTCCCTCTTGGGCGGTGAGCGTCTCAGTGGTTCGAAATACGGTATAATGCTGATACATCCCAGCCGCCGTTCTTGTGACGCTTGTTGTCGTAAGTATCGTGTATCAGCCGTCGCTGAAAGGGATCACTGACCAGATGCTCACAGACTCACCTTTCAGAGTTTCATCTCGCCCGGCGTCTAGCCAACCAGAACGTTCTTCCGCTCTCCCCGGAAGGTAGCACCTCAGATCTTCCTCTCCAAATTCCCGAAAACCCTTCCACTTTAACAACTGGTGTCGCTGATACCATCGGTGAAGCCATCACGACCGAGCGCACACCGCTGTTGGACCGCAAATCCCGCTCGCGTTCTTCGTCGGCTAACCCACGCCATGCGGAGAACCCAGCGTTACATCGCACCCGCGTAATTTTGGCGATTTCATACGCCTCAGTCTCGGGCATTCTCTCCGGGATGTGCCTCTTGTTTGCCAAGAGTGGGGTGGAACTGTTACTTTTGACGTTGGGTGGGGATAATCAGTTCTGGAGGTGGCAGGCGTGGATGCTGGTGCTCGGCTTGGTCGGGTTTGCATTGCTCCAGCTGTGGTATCTGCATAAGGCTCTGATTCTCGCAGACCCAACACTCGTTTGCCCCTGTGCGTGTCTTGCGAATATCCGAAGTCCCTTTCTGCGCTAACATCACTGCCTAGCTGCTTTTTGTTTCTACAATCTGTCGTCGATCGTCAACGGCCTGGTCTACTTCGACCAGTTTTCCTTGATCCCTCCAGCACATCTGGCCCTCGTCATTTTGGGCATCGTCATCCTTCTCGGAGGAGTATGGGTTGTCAGCGTCCAATCCGGCAGCACCGGAGGAGACTCGGATACATGTAGTGATTCATCGTCATTGGACACGAGGACCTCCGCAGAGGCCCAGTCTCCGGATCCGTTCCTTTCGCAGAGCGTGCCTTCTGCTCGTGATCTGGAGAGCAGGCCCTGGAGTCCGCTATCGACCGCATCCCAGCCCCTGCCGTCGTTGGCATCGGTGCCGAATATGTCGGCGTCTGGTTCTCGTCGCCGATCGCATTTGCGCTCGCAGACGATTACATCTCCCCCGCCGCCGAATCCCGTGACATCCTTGAGCGGAGGGCTGCAGATTGGGTTGTCGCCTGTGAGCCCAGGATTCTCGATTCGACCGCGTCGAATGCCGAGCGGATTCGGTCGCGGACAGGAGGACGAAGGAGATGGCGTTCGGACGAGGGATCACCGACGACGCACTGTCAGCGAGGGCGATGCTGCAAGAACAAGGGACGGCATCGAGAGGCCACTGCTTGATTCCGAAGCAGGGATTGATCCTCCCCCGACCGTGGATCAGCGCTCCAAGGGAAAGTGGAAATGGCGCATCTGGCGGTAAAGTGAAGACGGAGCTCTTTTACCCATGCATCTCACCCTCATATACCACGAATCTAGATAGTCACCACTCTAAGTACTCGACATGAGACCCCATATATAATTTGTGAATTACACAGCGTCCGCGATCACGTGTCCGTTGTGCCTTTCCCCTCCCTCTTGGTTGAAAAGGAGATCAGTTGTCCATTCACCGGCACAAATTCGAGGTTGCAATGAAAGACGTCGTATGCGAGAAAATCGCGGGAACGGCGATATCATCGGCCCACGAGTCCCTCTGCCTCGGATAACCTTGTCATCCAATTGTCAGTCTCACGATGCACCCGACGGCCGAAGAGCTTTCCCTAATGCTTCATACGGCCCTCTCACGGACTTCTGCATCTGAGCATCCGGGCCAGAACAAGCGGCTTGGGTACGACTATGACTGCTTTCGGGTTGCGCTGCGTAGGGTTAAAGCCATACCTGCCGGCTCCCCCGCACGGTGATTTGGCGAGGACAGACTCTAGCAGCTGTCCGATGACGTTTGAGAGTCTTCGGGTGCAATATGTTGTTCGTAGCCTCGGGGCTAAATTAATGAAATATCCTGCGGGTGTGTAATTCATCCAGTGCTGAGCATGATTACAAGGGCTTCCTCGCAGTGACTACGACGATCTTCGGGAAGCAACCGACTTGCTTCTCAGCTGTTTCGATGAATGCATCCCGCACTAGGCCTTCGAATTCGTTCATGTCCACTACAAGGTCCGGCCTGTCCTTCTGGGCTGTTGCAGCGATGGGCAGCATCCCGAGCAATTCGCCATCAGCAAAGGCTCGTCCCAGCGCTCTGTCGATGAACGGGACGCGTTTTGTAACATGCACGTATCCAGACTCGGACAGGATTGAGTCAAGGCGATTGACCCACTGACGAGGTTCAGACCGCGAGAATATATCATATCTCGTCAAAGACCCCGCGTACCTTGGGACATTTCCATTCTGAGATCTGCCAGGTTTTGCTTGCCGCGCGGGGGAGCGCTTGGGGGATGTAGCCTGGTATCGCGCTCTCGAACGTCGTTTCGTCGAGCGCCATTTCGACCCACTGGATGTGTCCTCCTGGTTCTGTGACAATGTCAGCGCGATTCCGGTGGGTTTTCGGTCCATGACATACTGAGCAAAGTCATCATATTCTTTGCGACAGCGGAGACTCTCTCGTCATCGACGAAACACACCACCAGCGACACATGCACGACATCGTATTTGCCCACCAGATCATTAGGAATGGGCTCAAAAAGATCAAGTCGCGTCACGTCTTTAATATTCGAGGGAAGCCAGCCAGTCGGAGGTCCTTGTCCCAAGTTCAGGTCGAATCCTTGAAGGTTAGTCGAAGGGTCGACTTGAGATGCCAGATCTATCAGCCACATGCTGGGTCCACTGTGAGCAAATCGCCCTGGCCAACAACAGCCATTCACTGACCAAGTTCCGCACGGAATATCGGCAATGAGTAGGTTGGCGTCTTGATACGGGATATGGGGTTCCAGCAGCTGTTCACCCAGGGCTTTGCGCACCAGCGAGTGTTGGAGGTTGAGTCTGGTGCACTTCATTCTCGAGTTCCCATCTTTGCCGTCCGACTCACCCAACAGTGGAGGTGTATGTAGTTCCGAGGATGTAATTTCCCATGGACGTTTGAGCGACGAAGACGATCCGGGACCAGCGTAAGATTGGCTTGCTTTAAAGGATTGTGTCATGACGTTCAATTTGCATTAGCACGTTCCTAGAGACTGACATCAAGAACGTATAATTCTTTGAGCCGAAGAGGGCGCCACATTGACATCCGAGGAAGCAAAACTTGGCAGCTCGCGGAGATTGGGTTTAAAAACCAGCGCCAGACAACTCAGCCATGCGTGAAAAATGCCCATCCTTTACCGCGAGCCTTACAGAGCCCAGTTCTTCGACCACGTGCCCAGCGACGGCGTTACCGTGCCCGTCCGCGATTACGACTCCTATGTGATGTTTCCGGAATACCGGTGGGCGTATAACAAGCTGAACATCGCCGAGAAACAGGGTCTGTTGTGCGGTCCTCGTAAGCATATACCTAGCGAACAGAAGCTCAGTTGGACTCACCTAGTCGGTTTCGAGATGGCGTGCCACCTCCCCATTATCCCATCTTCAGCAAGCCAATCTACAACCTCAACACCATGGGCGTAGGTACACGGCTGCTGATCGACGAGGACGACTACCTGGAGAACAGGACTGCAGGCCAAATGTGGTGCGAGTATCTCACGGGAGATCACCTCAGCACGGACATCGCGGTCTGCCGAGGGCGTGTCGTGTGGATGTCTACCACCCGTGGACACGCATTGAAAGGGGGAACGTTCGACTACTGGGACGTCAACGTGCCGGTGTCCGACTCAGACAGGGCATATTTGGTGCATTTCGTCGAGAAGCACTTCGGGACTTATAGCGGGATGATCAATGCCGAAACGATTGGGGGACATATCATCGAGGCGCACCTTCGTTTCGCGGACCAGTGGACGGACCTGTACCCAGCCGGCTTCGTCAAGGCTCTCGTCTGGCTCTACTCGAACTCCTCAGATCCGTGGCGCCCCGACAAAGAGATGCAGGCCAACACTGTCAAAGGCTATAGCGTGATACTCTTCAAGCCGCACGGACGCCGCATGTGGAGCAAGCCCTGTGATGAGCGCGTGCAACAGATTCTCGAGAAGTATCAGCTCTCTAGCATCCAACTACCCTTCGCTGCAGATCAGCCTACACATCGCGCTTCGATGCCCCCGGGTGGGTTCAGGGTGGCCTGTTTGAATGGAAGAGATCTGGAGGACTGTTTCGAGGCCAGAAAGGAATTGGACGAGTTATTTGATGAGGCCAATCCGCCAGAAGAGGTCGGCATGGCTTGCGGAAAGTGATCGAGTAGTGCTCCAATACCTGTAGCGAGTACGAAGAGCGCTACTTAGAAGCATTGATGTCGACAAACATGTGCCATTAACGGCAAGATAAGATTTCCGACCTACCCCACAGAGGCAGACATATAATTCCAAATAGGGGCTTGATTGTCCCACTTTGGTCTGCACAGCCGCGCGATCCCTCGACGTTGAAGCAGATCTGCCGGAGCCTATGCCTGCACCACTTGAAGTGTTTTACCGATTTTCCGCTGAGTTTCCGAAGCTATTAGAACTCGTGAGAGGCACCTGCTTGTACCCCCGCCTGTCTCGATCACGTGCCGATATGCCATTCACGTGCCGACAGCCCACTCCCATGTTCTCCGCGCGCTTGGCAGTGGTCAGCGGACTGAAGCCAGACACAGCTGGGCCACCAGCGAAACACCGGCCATCCTTGGCGTTGCCTTGCTGTCTCTCGTATCCCGACATTGTACCGCTGGTGCCGATAGATCCTTCATCGTCCCGTGCACAACACCTGCGCTCACTTACCGATGTATCTCCTTGTCGGACACTTTGGCCATGGTATAAAGGCTGGTGCTCTCTGAATGTTGGAGGCCAGACTCGGAACGCGATCTTCAGAAACACTCGGTGCGTCTTACCATCCAGTGTTGGTTGTTGGTGTACTCGATTTCACACAAATCGCAGCCATGTTTCCATTCAAATCCTTGACTTCTCTCTGCCTGCTCGCTGCGGCGCTCTCGGCCTCGGCCCAACAAGCTGGAACCTTGCAAGCGGAGAACCACCCGACCCTCCCGTCGCAAAAATGCACTGCTGGAGGCAGCTGTTCGACTGTGCAGACCTCTGTCGTGCTCGACTCCAACTGGCGCTGGCTGCACTCGGTTAACGGAAGCACCAACTGCTACACCGGAAACACCTGGAACACGGCCCTGTGCCCCGACCCCGCGACTTGCACCGCCAACTGTGCTCTGGATGGTGCTGATTATTCTGGGTGCGTTATCTGACACCGTCATTGTTGGATTGGGTCGCTCATGCTGTGCGAAGAACGTACGGTATCTCGACTTCGGGCAACGCGCTTACTCTCAAGTTTGTCACTGGCGCCAACATCGGCTCCCGAGTGTACCTGATGGCCAACGCCACGTCGTACCAGCCCCTGAAGCTGCTGAACCAGGAGTTCTCGTTCGATGTTGACATGAGCAACCTCGGATGTGGGCTCAACGGCGCGCTCTACCTGACTGAGATGCCGATGGATGGTGGAATTTCTACTACAAACAAGGCTGGTGCCAAGTACGGAACGGGATACTGCGACAGCCAGTGCCCTCACGATCTCAAGTTCATCAACGGAAAGGTGTGTGATCAGCCGTCTACCAGGTGAAAGACTGGTGTGTTGAATGATGATCTACAGGCCAACATCGTTGGATGGGCTGGTTCTCCGAACGACACCAATTCGGGAACTGGGTCGATTGGAACTTGCTGCAACGAGATGGACATCTGGGAAGGTATGTGGAGCGCACATATAAGGTTGAGCAGCTTCTGACTCTGCTTCCAGCCAACAAGAACGCGGCCGCCTACACTCCTCACGTCTGCTCTAAAGCCGGCCTGTACGCCTGCAGCAGTGCAACCGAGTGCGGTGACGGCAGCAACCGTTACGCGAGCGGCAGTATCTGCGACAAGGACGGTTGCGACTTTAACTCGTACCGCATGGGCGACCAGACTTTCCTCGGCCCGGGCAAGACCGTCGACACCAACTCCAAGTTCACTATCGTGACCCAGTTCGTCGCGCCGAGCGGAACTTTGACTGAGATCAAGCGGCTGTACGTCCAGAACGGCAAGGTGATCCAGAACTCGAACACCAAGATCGCCGGGATCACGCCGGCAGTCAACTCGATCACCGACTCGTTCTGCAACGCCCAAAAGACGGCCTTTGGCGACACCAACTCGTTCGAGAGCCGCGGTGGCTTGAAGGCGATGGGTGCTGCCCTGCAGCGTGGAATGGTCCTTGCGCTCAGTCTCTGGGACGACCACGCCGCTGGCATGTACTGGCTCGACTCGTCTTACCCTACGGCCAGCAACCCCTCGACTCCTGGTGTTCTCCGCGGCCCGTGCAGCACCACCAGTGGCGATCCGAAGACCGTCGAGGCTTCCCAGGGAAGCAACTCCGTCGTCTTCTCCAACATCAAGTGGGGTGACATCGGCTCGACCTTCGGTGGCTCCAGCACCAGTCCCAGCGGACCCGGCTCGACGACCACGGCTCCTTCCAGCCCGACTGGCGGATCTATTGCCCAGGTCGGTCCCTCTGTTTCTTGCGAAGCCTGTGCGTCTTACTGATCGACTTTCGCAGTACCAACAATGTGGAGGCTCTACCTTCACTGGCTCTGGAAGCTGTGTCTCTGGCACCACCTGCACTGTCATCAACCCTTGTAAGCAGCCACCTTCGAGCCTGATTTCAAAGCTGATCGACCCTCCCAGTCTACTGGCAATGTCTGTGATTCTGCTGAATAGTCCGCATAAATCCACTATACACACGTCAATGTAATCTACTCGCGCTCTTCAAATCGAGTCGTACTTTATCCACAGTCACGGGACCGCGTCTTGCGCATGTGATCGGATGAGATCCAGTCGAAAGATTTGAAGCTAACAAATGATACACTCTGCCTCTGGTCTTGCTAATCGCGCTTCAAGGCGGAATCGCAGCGTCTCATCCGGATATATATATGGACATCCCCTGATCGTGGAAATTGTAAGCGGGTGGATTGGGCGGTTACTTGAGCAAAATTGAACATACGCATATTGAAGCCCCCCAAGACCACCATCATTATCCGAGCCATCAAGTAGAACCACAATGTAACTGCGCAGATGTCCTCTCGGATGCGGTTTCAGCTGATCATTGGCTTTGAGCCGCATCGACAGCGTCGGTCGCGGCCTAGATTTCCCTGCGCCGAAAATTCCGCGCGCAGGTGTTCCAATGGGTCCATCTGGCTCAGATGGTGGCGGGATGAGTAGTCGCGAATCAATCCAGGATGGGGGAGAGTGTTCCAGCAAGCCGAGCGTGACATACCATGTCCCTGCTGGTGGCATGCCTGGTCGCCGATTCTCGTGGGGGGAAACGTAGAAAGCCAGTCTCCACATCCGACTCCGCGCAATGAATTCTAACACGATGCTCTTCCCGAGGAGCATGCGCTTCTGGAAGTGCGGTACCGCAAAGTCGACAACAAACGCGCCGGAACCGGCCCCATCCGTCTCTGTGGGCGCAACATTCTCGACCGTTATATCATCGTGAGGAACGGTGGCATCGAGAATCATTTCGTCGGTCGCACTAAGCGGTGAGAATTCAGGAGAGCTCCGCAGCCGCTGGAAAAGCAGTTGGTCGGAATTGAGCAGGCATGCCAGTCGCACGTCGGAGATGGTAGCAGGAGTGAGAGGCGAGGCCAAGCTGATGAGGGCACTGAGTAAGTCAGTCCCCTGGAGCTGGTCGGATTCTACATCGGAGGGCCGCTTCACAACCGCCCAGTAGATAGGTGTGTGTCCCTCCACGCTCTTCTCCTGCAGCACAGAGCTGATCGAAAGACCGTTGGCAGAGCAGGCGTCCGCACAACTTTTGAGAATGCTGATTCCAACAGACGAGCGGTCCTCGTGAGGTAGTTTCACCAGATCTTTGACCAGTCCCAATACCGTTGAGCGCACTTGACGCACTGTCGGTGAGGTGAATCCAAACCAGGAACTCGAAACGGGTGGTAACCTCGACGAGGAGGCTATTGGGATCGGGAGTGTACTGCTTGTAGCACCGAGTGGTGGAGGCCGCTTAGAATCGGTGGGAAAGGTGGTTGCAGTTGCTATTTGGCTGGCTTCGTACGCCGGGGGAGCTTCCGTGTCACCCAAGGGCATCGTGTCGTTCAATTCATTTGGATATATAGCCTGCGGTTTGTCGCTTTCGCTCGGTAGGATCATGGTGGACAGCGGCTACTGCCAAGACGAGATGAGGGACCGGGTTTGCCATCAGTGCCTGCGCAATGATCGAGGAAGGCGGTGCTGACACTTGAACAAGATCATCTCTGAAGTTGACCTACATCTGCAAAATCCGAGGATTCAACCTGCACATCGTCGAGTGCAAAGCAGGACTGAGCACCCAAATAGAGCCGTCATGGATCAGGTCTGCCCAAATTCCCACCTGCGTTCACCGCACATGATTGGTCTCATTGGTCGTCTTGGCGTGTAGGACGCCTTCCGGCACCTGCTCACAAGCTCTGGGAAGCAAACACAGCGATCTCGCGGCTCTCTGCATGCGTATGTATCTGAACTCGCAGCTGTTGGCCCGAGCTAAGGAATTCTGACGTAGTCCCAAGACAATTAGCGCCTCTGAACCTGCATTCAAACCGAGGAAGGTGAAGAAGTCAGACGGTTCTTACCGCGACCGTGCCGCCGAGCGCAGAGATGGTGGGACAAACGACTTCGCTCATGTTGAAGCTGTGTTGGATGATTTCGAGAAGCGCGTGGGAGACTCAGCAGTGCGTGAATTGCTGCTCCATTCATGTGGTGGCACGTATCCAATCTTACCATGTGTATTCGTAGACTGACGATCAGCGGCGCTACTTGGGGGGAGACGGCGAGCACTCAGTCCTTGTGAAAGGGCTAGACTTTGCGCTACTGGAACAAAACAAAGCCAAGGCATCCTCTTCGACCGTTGACGACGATTCACTCGAGCAGGCGTTTGTGAGCTCTGCTTCTCAGCCTAGGCCTGCGGTGGATGGAAAGCGAACGCGCGAAGAAATGCTCAGTGTCCTCAAATCGAAGCGCGCAGCAGCTCAGCCCACTGAGGTTATTAAAGATAGCAAATTCAAGCCAATAGGATTCAAACCTATCGGTGTCGTGGAAGAGAAGAAGAAGACTAAAAAGAAACGGGTCAAACCAGATGGAGAGTTGGCCACATCGAAGAGCAAGAAAAAACGCAAGATCCAGGAGATTCCTGACGAAGTAGAGCCGACGGCAGTAGTCCCGAATGCCTCTGTCCCGCAACCCCCGGCTGTTGTTGAGGAAGATGACGATGCTGACTTGGATATATTTGCCGGTGTCACGGAGTACCAGGGACTTGAGCTGGACGATGATGATGATGCGGATGTCGATCCCTTGCCAGACCGCGTCGCGCACGAGCCTGAAGTAGAATCGTCCGTGCCTCCGCGGACGTGGTTTGCAGACGAGGAAAAGCCAGCGCCTCCTACAGCACTCGTCGTTGAGAGACAGATGTCCCTGCCACCTGCCGATGAAATGGAGGAGGATGAGGAAGAGGACAAGCCTGCGAGATTGATTCCACTGGCTAGTTCTGCACTACCGTCGATCAAAGAATATCTGGCAATGACAGGAGAGGACGGCGGTAAGAAGGGCAAAGGGAAGAAGAAAAAGAAGAGGGGAAGAAAGGAGCGGACGATGACGACGACGACTAGTACTTGACGCGTGTGAGGATTGGACTTTAAACATTTACTGATATGCGTGCATTTGGATATCGTACTAGCGGCCAAACAATAATGATAAACGAAAGATACTTATTCTTCCCGTACAAAAAGCCATTTCTCTCCCACTTTCTGCATCCGTCCTCCAGAGGCGCCTGCGTCGGGAATCGAAGAGATATCCTGGCCGCCTCCAAGTACGACCGCGTCTGTGTCTCCGGACCCACTGCTCTGCCACTGACTACCGCCGTCCTCCCGATAGCCACCGCCGTAGTGGTTCCCGCCACCGTGGTTCCCTCTGCCCGATCCTCTGAAGTTGCCGCCCCTGCCCCGAAATCCACCGCGACTACTTGGTTGGCCTTGACGGCCCCATTGTTGCTGCTGTGACACCTGCTGCTGCTGCTGCTTTTGGTGGGACAACTGCTGGGACGGTTGCATTTGGCCTCCGGACATGACAAAAGCCATGAGCTCCTCGGTCGACGGCGGGTAACCGTGTGTGACCTGCCACAAATTCCCAAGCGTCTCCCACGAAGTTGCGGCAGTGAAATCAAACGTCGCCAGATTAAAACTCTCGAGGCCCTGCTTGGACGGAATTTTATTCGAGACAAGGCTTGTAGCATCTACCGAGGATGGTAATGACATCTGATGATCGTGATTACTCGCAGCAGGCGCATCAGCGGGCTCGCGTTCTACACGCGGAGAGACTACAGGCGCGGGCGGAGATTTCGGTGGTGGTGCGACAAGATCGTCAGGTGGTTCCGGGGAAGGCGATGCGGGCCGGATATCTCTCCCGAATTCATCCTTCCCCGGTGCGGTCCTGGCGGGGGCTCGTCCGACGGGCTGTGGCGGTGCTGGTTCGGGCAGAGAAGGTCGACGAGGCGGACTGTAGGGGCGGACCTCGCGCCGCCCAGGAAATCGGCTTGGCGGACTGCGAGATCTGCTATCGCGTCGGCCACCTCTTCTGTCGTCTTTGTGCCCGTAATCGCGAGAGTCACGGTCGCGGTCACGGCTATCGTAGCGGCCAGGAGGGCCACGACGGAAGCCGGCTCGGTCGTCGTTTCTTCGATAGTCGTTCCCATCGACTCTCGGGTCCCTACGGTCTCCCCCATTGGGCGCATATGGTGGTGGTGATACAGAAGGATAGGCAGGAATCGCTGCAGGAGCAGGAGGCTGAGAGACATTTCCAAGACTGGCAACGAGAGAAAGCTGCTGCAGCAAAGCGGCCTGTTGATAGTTGGGCTGTAGAGGAGCAATCGGAATCGGAGGTGCTTGGCTGTGGTCCCATGTTAACAAACCATGACCGTAGAAAAGGCAAGACAACTCACGCAGCAGCGTTGTTGGCCGCAGCCTGTGTGAGCAAGGCGAGAAGTGTAGCCTGGGGATCGGCACTGGGAGCAGCCTGCGGCACGGCATATGCTGGTATGACTGTCGGCGGAGGTGCGGCAGCGTGGAGACGCGGATCGGTCGGCACTTTTACTCCGTTATCTACGACAAACCAAGAATATTTCAGTTCGCTGTCTCACAGATCGAGGGCAGAAGGAACGCGAAAATGTGGTGAGATTATCAGGGTACTTAGCGAATACATGTTGCAACTGTGATATGCACCTTTTCCTGGTTCGTTGCTCACCACTTCTTTGAGCCGAGCTAGAACGGAGGCAGGGAACGTGCTCCCTTTCACCCATATATCGAGAACTTTTTTCGACTTTTCCTGGAGAAACGAGATGGCAAGTCAGGAGCTGGACTAATTCGACAAGAGAACGCGCAGAAGACAAGACATGTGTGCGCAGCAGAAAGGGCTTGGAAGGGGGCGAAGAGGGCATCAGCATTATTGAGACTAACCTTTGCCTCTGGTAGTGGGACGGAAGCCATGTTTTGGAACAAGCCGTCAAGAATGCCTTCCAGCTTCAGTAGGAAGGTAGCGCAGTTACCAGGATGGGTGTTGATGTCGCCAGTCAGTCCATGCTTGGAAACTTGAGTACGTGCAGCTCGAGCCAGGGCGTCAAAGACGTAGAGACTCGATATCTTGGCAGCAGATTGCAACGACTTGTGTGTGCGAAAAAGGATAGAGACGAGCTGAGTGTCGTCCTGAGCCGACATAAGTTGAGATCGTATCAGAGCACGAAGGATTCAAGTAGCTCACCGCCATAGACTTGAGAGCGATCTCCGTCAAATTGTTCATCTTTGAGGCTGAAAGTCGTTTTGCGTTCACCACTTCTTTCAGCGCTGTCTCGAATTCCTACAACGTCGATAAGCCCGAGAATATGATGCCTTGTTGCATGACACACCAGAAGATGAGCCATGGCACCCGAAGGTCGGCCGCAGCAGGATGGCTTCGAAGTTACTGGGAGGAGGAGACAACTTCACTTTGATGTGTGTACACCTGTTTGGGATGGGATGGTGCACTGTCCCTGCGCTTCAAGTTAACCGGAGTGGTCTGGGCCGCCATTTGGTCAAGTCTCGAATCACAGAACGGCTTTCCACACAATTTGAAGAGCTTAAAGTCCATCTTACCCACACTAGCGTTCCTGTTCGAATCTCGCGACAAGTTTACGTATGTTTGGGAATTATGGTTCTCAATCACTCTCTCAGCTCTCCTCGCGTGTCTCTAGTGCTGGCGATCTCTCAACCACTCTTTCCTCAAACTGACTGAATCGGCCATACTCTCTCGTTCTTGCTTCTCTACCACGTACTCTAGCATTCAGCGATGTCAACTCGCGCCAAGTTGACGTTGGGAGCGTCCCTCGGGTTCGCCGCGTTGACAATATGGGGAGTGCATTTCCAGCAGGAATTGCAACATGAGGTTGGCAATTTTCACTTGACATCCCATTTGAAACATGACAAATGTCCAGGCCATGTACAAAGGTGTCATACGCGACGACGAACGCCGGAAAGAAAAGATGGAACAGCGAGAAAGGGACTTAGAGGAGTCGAAAAGGAAACGGGAGCTGTATGAAAAGTTCCAGCGCGTGGAGAAGGTTGATTGAGGTCTGCGTTGGCTGCATCCTTCCGAACCTTGCTTGAGGTTGCGACTCGCATTCGTCAACGGCCTACCATGCGTGCCAGGGATGGAATCCATACCCTCGCCACTACTCCCTTCGTTACATCCGAGAGGATGTAAATTTCCCTGCAGGCAGCGAATCTTATGTTCGCGATGCCTGAGACATACTTTAAGCAGAACTAATGCTATATGGGACTGAAAGTCGTGCCACGGTTGGTGCGCACTCCGACCGTTCATTGAGATGAAGCTAGCTCTATGTAGTACTTGTGGCGATAAGCAGTCTCATTCTTTACATCCCCGATACAGCGAGCATTGAATCAACCCACGTTCAACGTCCAGCCCGTCGGCGTACGCATCGCGACCCGCAGGAGCCGGAAACATGTGGTGCTTGTTGGCATGTCAGTCGGCTACATGATCTGATCGAGGTCACTCTCCTTTGAATTTGGTGCAGTACGATCGCAATGGAGTTTCGTTTCTCTGGTCTCTCTTCTTCCTGCACCGCCAGGGTTTCCAGCCGCATCTCTCGCTCTGAGTTTAATGCCGGAGTTTTCGAGCACGATCATTAGTCTGTTTCACAGTCGAGCAGCGGCTCCTGAGCAGGTCAGTAGCAGTCCATCTCCACGTCGACATCGCCCCCGCGCGAGATGTTGACTTCACACGTTTACCTAGGGTGGTCTGCTTAGTGGAAAGAATCCCACGGCCTACAACACTGCGGATCCGCTCAGGTTATGGATCATCCAAGTCGGTGAGCTGCTTGTCGTTGTCCCGACTGGGGCGCTGCCTCATCAGCTGGCTTGCTTCTAGGAATCATCGTCGCCACTGCAAGTCTCCTGTCACTTGTGCTACGCAAGATACGCCAGCCCAAAGTCATTGCTGAAGGTTGGTCTACCACTTATACCACATTCGCCGGATGGCATAACTGAAAGCTGCATGCAAGTTTTGGGTGGTATAATACTGGGTGCGTCAGGAACCGACATGGTGTCCAGAACATGTGCAGGAGACTAATGTGGTTCGGCAGGTCCCACCGCCTTCGGAGCCATCCCACACTTCACCGACCGTATATTCCCCCCGCAGTCCATTCCATATCTCTCCGTCAGTCCAGTACACCTTGCCACATCTGGCGCTCTCTCATGACCTGCTCTCAGCTTGTAGCCAATATCGGTCTCGTGCTCTTTCTGTTCCTTGTAGGGTATATGGTTTATGACATAACCCATTTGGAACTGATGTTCTAATCTATTTTCATAGTCTCGAAATTGATGGATCTATCATCAAACGGAACGCGCGCCTGTGCGTCACAACCGAGTTGGAAGCAGAGATTCCATCACTGACTGGAAATGCAGGTCTGCGAGCGTAGCTGCCGCTGGCATGATCCTTCCATTCGGCCTGGGGGCAGCTTTGTCTGTGCCATTGTATCACGAATTCATTCTCCCCGTCGCGCCAAACGTTCGGTTCACCTACTTCATGCTGTTCAGTGGTGTGGCGTTCTCGATCACCGCGTTCCCAGTGCTCTGTCGCATTTTGACCGAGCTTAAGCTGCTGGACACCACTGTGGGGATCGTGGTGCTCTCGGCTGGCGTCGGTAATGACATTGGTGAGCCCGGGACCCGGTCCGCCATCGATGACTCTGAACATGTCCAGTGGGGTGGATTCTTCTTGCGCTTAGCGTGGCACTTGTCAATGCTGGTTCGGGACTCACCGCTCTCTGGATTCTGCTCGCATGTGTTGGCTGGACGCTGTTTTTACTGTTCCCGGTCAGAATAGCACTCCGCTGGCTGGCGTACAAGACTGGGTCCGTCGAGAATGGACCAACGATGCTCTTCATGACGGTCACCATCCTCCTGGTGTTCGGCTCTGCATTCTTCACTGATGTCATTGGCGTTCATGCTATTTTCGGAGCCTTTGTTATGGGACTGACCGTGCCCCGAGAAGGCGGTCTTACGATTGCACTGACTGAGAAATTGGAAGATATGGTGTCCATCATATTCCTACCCACTGTAAGCTTGGTCTGTTCGCAATGCAAGGCTTGCTCACTTTTGCAAGTACTTTACCATCTCGGGGCTCTCTACGAATCTAAGGCTCCTAGATACTGGTTGGTTATGCGTTTCTTCGAAGAAAATCACTCAAGGACGGTGATATAGGTATCACCTGGGGCTACACGATTGCGATCTGTGTTCTCGCGTTTGTCGGCAAATTCGGCGGTTGTACCCTCTCTGCTCGATATCTTGCAGGTGCGTTTTGGTCGCGATTACCGGAATGTTCTTTGTCGACGCTCTCTAGGCTTCAATCTTCGAGAGGCAAGCGCGGTCGGATCATTGATGAGTTGCAAAGGGTGAGTCCCCAGTACATGCTCGCTTGGCGAGTTGACCCAAGCGGATAGGCTGGTGGAACTGATTGTGCTCAATGTGGGGCTCTCAGCTGGCATCCTGACACCTCGTGTGTTTTCTATGTTCGTGCTGGAGGCGCTCACTTTGACGTTCATGACCACGCCCCTCGTCACGGTTCTTTACCCGCCGGCACTGCGGGTCCGAGCAAGCGGAAGTGGAGCCAACTTCGATAATGTCAGTGGTGCTGATGAAGCTGGCCATCGCCAACGGGTGCTTCGCGATGGAGCGCGGACGCGCTTTACGTTTGTTCTCGACAGAATCGAACATTTGCCCGGCCTCATGTCAATCGCCCAACTGATTCAACCTACCGGCATCACGCAGACGTCATCTTCGGGGTCGTCCACTCCGGAAAACCGCCGTGCTTCCAAATCAAGCGCATCTTCCGAGTCTTCCGAACTGCTATCCATCAGCGCATTGCGATTACTGGAACTGTCCGACCGTGTGTCTGCTGTCATGCGATCATCTGCCTCAGAGTCTTTGCTGCACTCTGATCCTGTCCTGTCTATCTTCCGAATGTTCGGCGAGCTGCATGACTTGCGCATCGACACAGCGCTGAGCATCGTGCCCTTTGACAACATGGCGCCAAGCGTGACAGAACACGCGCAAAGCACGGAAGCGGACATGATCGTCCTTCCGTGGTTGCCTTTCGCAACACATGCCGATGGAGTTTCGACACTTGAGCCTCACGAAACTGCGCCAGTGACTCCGCGGCAGTCTCAGAATCCGTTCGACGCGCTCTTCAGGGCCACAGGCGGCGGAGATAGGTCTGCATCAGCTCTTCACGCTCAGTTTGTGCGGGGTGTCTTTTCGGATGCTCCAGTGGACGTTGCCCTGTGTGTGAATCAGGAACGAAGTGCCGTTGGTCACGCGGCGGGCAGCAAGCAGCATCTGATGCTCGTCTTCTTCGGTGGCCCGGACGACCGGATGGCTCTTGAGTTCGTCGTGCAGCTTTGCGCTGGGAGCACCCACGTCACAGCCACCGTGTTGCGGATGTTCAAGCGAGAGATGGACACCCATATGACGCCGATACGCAGCGCTCATTTTGGCCCAGAGAAAAACGAAGAGATCAACGCCTTGACTGTAGCATCTGTAAGTTCCCAGTGCCCGAATATCCTTACTAAGGGACTCATTGTTTCGCAGGCCATGACCGGATTCCCCGACACAGTCTATGGGCATGTGTCCGACGAAACGAGAATGCAGTCTCAAACCGCAGACAGCGTCGCATGGGAAAAATACGCCACTGACGAAACCATCTCGCGCATCGATTTCCGAGAGATAACGACTCCGATCCCGCTTCACGCTGCGATCCATGAAAGCAGGATGTATCACGAATCGCACCCTTCGAGCCGGCTGCTGATAGTTCTCGGCCGGTCGCGCCGGCTCGCCGTTGAAAACCATGCTGGAGAGCTGAAAGAGCTGACAGACGAGTATGGGACTGTCGGTTCGGAGGTGCGCAAGACCATGGGTGATGTTGCCACTGCGTTTGTTGCCGCTGGCACTGGCTCGGGGCTGCTTGTGATGCAGGCCGCCAAACAATGAATAGATCTACACCCAGGACATTGATCCACAGACTACATGTTGGAAGTGCATATCTACCCCGCTGTTTGTAACGTATACCATCATCCGTGCTGCCTTCATCGAGTGTACGAAGGAGATAAGATCACTTTGCAGTGATCTTGTTGATCGTGTTTGTCCGCAGAGGTGTGTCGGCAAAGAGGGCCCTGACCAGTCTCACCAGCTCGTCAATGTCGAAATCAACCAGGGACCCGCTGTCAAATAGATCCGAAATATCCGCCATCGAGGCTTCCAGCAGCTCAGAGAGATACGAGAACTTGAGCCAGCAAGGAACGTAGGCCCACGCGAAAGGTTGCTGTTGGGAGTGTTCAGCCTCAGCTAGATACGTTTCATGAAAAGGGTAATGACCTGGTTCGTATCCTCAACAAAGAGAGCCTCGAGAACATTCAGCATGCGGCACAGTTCGCTCAGCCGCTGTGATTCCACTTCGGTAATATCCGGCAGCTCTAGGATGTCTTCGAGAACACGAGACAGAGCAGTGTCGACTAGTATGCCGACAGCGGAATAGTACTTGCTTTTGTTGAGCACAGGCTGGACATCGTTATTCAGTAGCGAACCTATGTGCTAGCTACCAGGGTTTTTGCCACACACCTTCCATCGCTGGGACACGGTCTTGATGTCTCTCACGACCTGGTTGATGGCAGTTTCGCACTCGTCATATCTGTCCTGGTCAGACGTCGAGGTGAATCCGTCTGCACCAGTGCTCAAGATATCCAATGTTGATTGCCTGCAAAGATCCTGCGCTGCGCTCAACACCGCGCCCTTCTCCCTAAAGCTCACAGTCAACGCACCACAGTCTCCTGGAACCAGCTATCGCCCAGGACCTTCAGTCGATGTCGGCATTCGTCCAAACGATCTTTCGCCGGGCCGGCTTCGAGACGGAGCAGCTCGTCGCTGAGGTATAGACAATCATTCGAAAATTGCATCGCAGCCGCTGAAGACTTGAGAGCACCCGCACACTTGACGGGGTACAATGCACGGAAAAGATCGAGAACAGTCGGGGCACACTGGTGGATGACGGTGCCCGGGACCGAGCTGCCCTCCGGAGCTGATAAGATCTTCGACACAGCAAATTGCTGACCCTCCGAAAGGATGTCCCGAACAACAGCCAAAATCTGACGCATGCGGCCTGAAACAGTGAAAGTCTCCTTCGGGACAACGACAGCAGTCGCAAGCGCTGGTGGTCGCTTTCCCATCGATTTGTCTGCAGGAGGAAGAGCGTTTGGTGGAGGTGAAGGCGTCGCAAATCGAGTGCTACCCGTTGACATCGGAGTCGACACGCCTGGAGAGGCGAGCGGAGAGCTGTCGTTCAGGTGGTGTTTGCCCTTATTGGCAAGTTTCTGTAACCGTGTCGCCATCCGGGGAGACGGTGACGGGACGATCGGGTCTTCAGGGATCGCCACAAGAACTTGTGGCTTGGCTACAGGTGGCGGATCATCCCAGGGATCATCCCAGGGATCTCCCGCATCTTCTTCCAGCCCCCACGAATCTGCTGGATCAGGTTCACTGTGTCCATTAGTCTTCGGTTCCTCTTGCTCAGCGCTCTCCTCCTGCTGATCGTCAAAGCCCCAGCCGTCGTCAGCATCTGCAACAGCTTCTGGACCATTCTCAGTATCGTCAAGACCCCAGCTGTCGTCTGCAGTGTGCTCTGAGGTCCCGTTCGACAATTCCGGCGGTGGGGCGCCCTCTTCGTCGTCACCCCAGCCCCAAGCATCGTCCACTGCTTCATCCGGAACTCGGAGATTTGCTTCCCTAAGATCGGCCTCCGCTGCTTGCACGGGTATCACATCGGCCATCCTCTCCTGCGGCATTTCAATCTCCACGACGAACCTGTCCGCAGGATCGTTCGGTGCTAGCACAATGAGTCGAGCTGCGTCGAGAATCTGGACACGGCGCTGCCTTTCATAGTGTCCGCCCAGCCCGTCGACCCATGCTTTGATTTCTCGACCATGTTGGTCATCACCTCCAAGCAGCTTCACGACGAAATCGCCCTCAAAGGCCACGGCCTGCCTGGCAATCTCCAGAAATGGCGGTAGCTTGTCAAATGACGACGGGAGGAACGGGATGAGAACGTTGGACAAGACGCTCGTCACGATTGGCTTGCACAGCGAGCGGGAGAAGGCCGCTCTGTCGGAGGGCGGGAGGAATGCCATCAAGTGGGAAGACAAGAACGTTAACACAGTAGAGAGATTTTCCAGGCGTGTGCCGAGATTGTCGGGCTCCAGCGGAGCAGGAAATATAGTCAGTCTGCTTTCCATCGCGTCGCTTGACACCTCAACATTGGAGGGCTGGCGTGCGACAAAGTCGACGTAGTGAGCCATCACATCTCTTTTCAGTGTCGTCAAGTGGCCTGAAAGGGAGCCAGTCTCCGCCGATGTGAGCAGAATTTCTGGTAAAGTGATGCGCGTTTCCGACTGTCGCACTGCAGCCCGTTGATATTAAAGAGAGGTGTCAACACAAGTAACGTACCTAGCACGGATGACTGTATCTTCAGACACTTGGGGGCAGAAGACACGCTTCGTATATATGCCTCGCTCAGCTGTTCTTCCGTGCGCGACTTCGCGGCGTGAAATCTCCTCTGGACACGTGTTTTTAGATAGGATTCGGGACCGCATAGTTTCAACGTACTTTGAGATCCGCCATGACAGCCATTTCATTGGAATGAGCCGGCGCAGCCTGCAGCAGACGTTCAAACTCGCCGCATGCACCGATGGCCTGCGGGAGCTTGCCTAGCTGCACGAGTGAGAGCAGAGAGCCGAACTCGCCACGGGCGCGTAATAGGAAGGCGACTGTCTGGTGCCTATATGTAGCGTCGACGGATTGCTGAGCCAGAGTAGCGTGCGCGGTCAGAGTCCGGATGAGCTTCGGGATGAGACCTGTCTTATACATAGAGTTAGTGATCCCCAAGAGTGACTGAGTCAAGGGCTACGGGTTCACACCTCAGAATCCGACAATGTATGGTCTAGCCGGTCCACGTTGCTCGCCAAGGACTGTAGACGCGTCTGAACAGACTTGGAACTCTCGAGCTGGCGCTCGAATTCCGGAAGGTCTCGATGTATTCGGTCCTTAATCTGAGCCTAGAGAAAGTGTTAATAGCACGGCTCTGTTGCCAGAGACCCCCAATGATAATCACTTTAGTTGCCCCAATGGTGTCCTCCAGCTCCGTAATCCACGAGCTTGCAAGGGATGTCGTCAGAGTGTGGTTCGTCGCTTGATCAATTTTGGAGAGGATTTCGGAAGAGACATCGTGCGGATTCGGTCGTCGCGGGAGATGAGAAGGGATAGGGAACGCCATGGTCGACGTGTAGTAGAGAGGCACCAAGACAGAAATAGTGAGCGAGTGACTGATTGATGACGACACGTGCGTCCGGTCTCTTTGCTTCGCGCTGTACGTTACCGGCACTGTGATAGAGTACTCTTCTCCACTCTCTCGCTGCACAAATCCCCTGGCCGACTGCGACGCGTTCATAATCCCACTCATGCTTGCTACCGCTCTCTTGCTGGTTTCTACGGTTGCAATACTGCATGGTCAGTCTGTCAGGCAGGGCAACACAAAATAGGAACTGAGTTTGTTCAGCGGCGTTCTCTACCTATGAGCGTACGAGCTGTCTCCCCCACATGACTGGAGATCTCATGTCTCTGCAGATCTATCCCATTTGAAAGCCATCGGACGACCGGAAGGCTCGCTACCCTTCGACGTTCGTACTGAACTGACACAAGCGCGAACACTAACACTGAACATTTCAGATTGTGCTGGAAGCATTCTTCGCGTTGATACTGGGCACGGTGGGGGCCTCATTGAACGCTCCGAAGCTCAAAGAGATTACATGGGCAGCAGAGATGAGGAATCGGTTCGTGTGCTACTTTCTCCCATCGGGCCATTGATCTCTCAAATGGTACAGGACGATCGACGAGATGTCTTCCAGACTGAGCTTCGCATCCTACGTCCACCGCGGGAACACGTTATTTTCTGGTCGTACATCGCACAAGTAGTCAGGTTGTCAGAAATTATCTTCGACTGGTAGCAGGCTCCCAAAGTAAAGTCATGGTGACGGACATGGCATACACATATGAGGATCAATACAACACATAGTACGACGAGTATTGAAACGACGGCTTAGACAGTAGGGGGCTTGCTGCCAGCGGCGAACGTGTACGTCAGCCCACACTTGCCGCAGTACTGGCGGTCCTTGTGGAAGGCCATCTAAGACATATGAGCATGATGTTCGATACCAGAAGATCCAAATACTGACGAAGATACCAGCACCGCACTCAGCGGTCGGGCACTCACGACGGAGACGCTTGATCTTGCCGTCGGAGTCGACCTTGTAGTACTTGAGGATGGACATCTTGACCTTTTTCCTCTTGTGCTTGATCTTCTTGGGGGTCTGAAAGAAGTTCTAAGGATGCAGAAAAGGATGGGCAAGGAAAGTAAGACGGACGCTGTAGGTCTTCTTTTTCCTCTTCTTGGCACCACCACGCAGACGGAGCACCAAGTGAAGAGTCGACTCCTTCTGGATGTTGTAGTCGCTGAGGGTGCGGCCGTCCTCGAGCTGCTTGCCGGCGAAGATCAAGCGCTGCTGGTCGGGGGGAATGCTGACGATGAAGTTGGTCTACTGCATTACATCGGGGAGCTGCCGACAACGCACCCCTCCTTGTCTTGGATTTTGGCCTTGACATTGTCGATAGTGTCCGAGGATTCAACCTCGAGGGTGATCGTTTTGCCCGTTAGGCTGTAAGAAAGGTCAGGAAAAGGCAAGGGTAGCGATTGGACAAAACGAACGTCTTGACGAAGATCTGCATCTTGCAAAGGACGCTTCGGTCTGTCCAACGGAATCAACGGTGGAGTCGTCGACAAAAGCAACCTGTTAACAGATTACAAATCAGAGCAAACTACATAGAGCCACGTGATATGCTAGAGATTCACGCGAGGTCACGACCCAGTCACTGATGTCACACCCACTCATCTTGATCGCCGGCCCACGCTTCCTTGAGCCAAACCTGGCCAAACGCGCTTCGTTCCAAAGTGTTCACATAGCTCAGCATGGACTCAGATACAGAGATGATGGACATTGGACCCTTCTCCTCCGCTGAGAAGGGAAAGGGCAAAGCTTCGGACCCTCCACCCGCAACCGAGGTGGACTTGGACACACTCCCCTGGTACGCGTCAAGACTGGTCTTTCAGCGCGGTAATTGACGCGTCGCAGGGTCGAAAAATACAGACCTGTTACTCTGGACGACGTTGTATCTCACAAGGATATCGTTTCCACCAGTAAACAGCTTCACAGCTGTCTGTATCGTAGGTTGACCATCTTCCAGTTGATAAGTTCATTCAAAAGAATCGTTTGCCACATCTACTCTTCTATGGACCTCCCGGAACCGGAAAGACGTCGACGATCCTTGCGGTTGCGCGGCGCATATACGGGAAGGACTATAAGAAGCAAATTCTAGAGGTGCGTCCACAGCAACGCGCATGGTCCTCCCTCAACGCGTTTCTACATAGCTCAACGCGTCGGATGACCGAGGCATCGACGTCGTGCGCGAACAAATCAAGCAATTCGCCGAAACGCGCACCCTGTTCTCAAAAGGCTTCAAACTCATCATCCTTGACGAAGCGGACATGATGACGCAACAAGCCCAAGCCGCCTTGCGTCGTGTCATCGAGCAATACACCAAGAACGTTCGCTTCTGCATTATCTGCAACTACGTGAACAAGATAGCGCCGGCAATTCAGAGCCGATGCACACGCTTCCGATTCTCGCCTCTGCCCATCCAGGAAGTGGAGAAACGTTTGGACACAGTGATTGAAGGAGAGCAGTGCGTGCTCTACTAAGCGTTCTCTCAGCATCCGAACACCTGACCTTCTAATCAAGAGTTCGATTAACTGCTGATGGGAAGAAAGCACTGCTGAAGCTATCTCGGGGCGATATGCGACGTGCTCTGAATGTCCTGCAGGCGTGCCATGCCGCTTACGATATCACGAGTGAGACTGAAGTATACAATTGTACGGGGCACCCTCATCCATCCGACATCGAAACCATCGTCAACTCGATGCTGTCCGACGAATTTACCACCTCATACCAATGTACATCCTGTTCCGAACTGGCCTGCATCATGCTTGACTACCTTCAGTGATCAACAAAATGAAAACCGAACGCGGTTTGGCGCTGCAAGATTTGTTGACTGGTGCATTTGACTACATCGAGGGTCTCGAGCTCAAACCTCATGCACGAATATATCTGTTGGACTACATCGCCACGATCGAGTACGTGCAACTTCTCTCTAGTGAAGGCCAGAGCTGACTCAAGGACAAGACATCGATTATCGACGGGAGCTAGCGAGAAGATCCAGCTGAGTGCTTTGCTGGGCGTTTTCAAGAACGCCGTGGAACTGTCCTCAAAGTAGACATTTGAATGATACACATTGTTGGATACAGTTTTTGATCTAAGATATAATCTCCAGATGTACATCCCGCCGCTTTTGTGTCACGCATGGCCAGCCGGTGCCCGCTGCCTCAATTCTTTGACGGTGCAACCTGTACCGCCTTCCGACTGAGACGCGGATTTGCAGATGATGTCGCTGATTTGGGTCGGAGACGCGGAGGGTTTGAATACCTCCGGTGAAATCGTGACGTGGTTGACCCCGTATGCTGCGAAACAGTGCTGCAGTCCGCGTTCGGTGCGCTCCCAGTCCTCGATCGTTGTTCCTTCTGGCACACAAACATGCAACGAAGCAAGGATGACGCTGAGATGCGGTCAAGACTGGATGTATCGGGCTGGAAGGGAAGCACCGACGAGCGAGAGAGAATCCACACGTGCAAGTCGTGGATGGCAAGGACAGCGGGAGAGGCGAGCAAGTCTTCTCGCACTTTGTCTAGGTCGAGCTCTACAGGGGCTGCCTCTAATAATATACGGCCAGCTTTGATTGCTGGAAGCAGCAGTTAATTCGAGTGTTGAAGAGACGCTCAGCAAAAGGCTCGCTCACTCATCGGGATAGCACCCCCGAATATGATGAGACTGATCCCAAGAGAGACTGCAGGGTCGGCATAAAACCTGTTCGGAGAGTGTAGTTTCCAGATGAAGATCCCAGCCACAATCACACCAAGATCTGCTTTGCCATCAGAGCCACAAATGGGTTAGCTTGGAAGACACCGACTGTTGACTGCGTCACCAAGCAGATGGATCAAAACGGCGAAGAGGCCCAGGTCCGACTGGAGCTTCTGCGTGGGAGGGAACAAGGTGTGGTGATGTTGCGCATGGACACTACCGTCATGGGAGTGTCGCTCCATAGGGATCGGAGAAGCAGACGCTGGCCCGGAGTGGCTGTGGCTGTGTCCACCGTGTCCACCGTGGTCATGCACGACAAGAACACTGATGATGTTGAGGCAGAGGCCAACACAGCCGATAATCATCACTTGAACGGGGTTTTCAACGGCCTCTATGTGCACGAATCGCTCCAGGGACTGCAGGAATATCGACAGCGCCAGGGCAAGCAGAAACACCCCATTGAAGAAGGCCCCAACTAGTTCGGCACGGTGGAAGGCGTACGTAAACCCGACAGTCTGCAGCAGGGCTTGAGCCACGTTGGCTGACGGCCGAATTCATGGAGCGCACATTGTGTCCTTTGTCTTGTAACTACAGCCTCGTCAGTCGTGCGGAGTGGCTGACTCAGACAACGAACGCACGTATGCAGCGGCAAAAGCAATAGCACTAGGACGGGTTCAGAAATGGTTCTGCAGCCGTGAAGGACGCACTATGCCACGATGTCCTACAAAGTCGCATGAGCCGCTGCGCTGAGGGTAGCACACGACTCACATTGAGATAGTGGAACTACTCCCCATGCTGTTTCAATACACGTCTGAAAGGCATAGAACGACGAACCGCATCTGCAATCAATGCCAGACTCTTCGTCCGGAACCCTACTGACGTTACGGCTCTATTTCAGCTTGGATGATTCCACAGAACACGACCCGAGGCGTACTGGCAATCTCAGCTACAAAAAAGGCGATGGATACACCGAGAACAAATGCGAGCTTCGTAGTGCTCTTCATGATCGAATGAAACGTCGAAGATAGTAGCAAACGGTGAGATTGGGGGAAAGCAACCACGTTGTGTCAACGCTTGATCGCCGATCAGACATCAGTGGCTGTTCAAAATCAGCTGTCATGCCGGATTCTATCCTTTCAACGATTTCATGCAGACTGGGACCTGAGGAAATCAGTCACCTGGACCACTGCTGGAGATGGAGGGCCCTGATTCAGATCCGGCGCGTCACTTTCAGATTGGTGAGCTACACATGACTACTTGCGCCACCGATGGCGTGAATCTCCGCTCTTTGAAATTGTAGACCATTCTCCCAAATCTCCCTCCAGGCGAAGAGCCTCGCCATCCATAGTGGAGACATGTCGAAATCGATTCATCCACTCTCCGTGATTGAACTTGGTATCTTCTCAACAAGCTGGCTTCCTATTACACATTGCAGGCGTAGAAATACCAAAAGCACGCGACGTAACATATCCTACACCTTCAGTTGATGACGCCCTTGATCTCATCAACGAGTTTCAACGCTGCGTCTCTCTCCTTCTTCATGTTCCCAAGTTGGGCCTTGAGTGCTTCGGTGTCAGAGTGCAGAACAGCATGCCAGTCATCCGCTGCCCGAGGATCGAGCGCCAACTCAAGCACAGGAGGTCGCTTCGTGGCATCTCGCAGCTTCGCCTCGAGGTCTTTCACCTGCTCGCGGGCCCGGAAAGTTTCGTTGATAGCGTCCGACATTGCCACCTCAGTCCGCTCCACTTCCCGCTCAAGGGCCGAGATGCGTCGAATGGCTGCATCGTAAGACATTGTTCGTTCGGGTTCCGGACTCGGCGACGGTGGAACAGGTGAGACAGCTTTTACCGGTTTCTGTGAACGATCCTGAGCTGGAGAATCAACTCCTGTTCGATTGTTCAAGACAGCGTTCCGGTTTTGTCGCTTCTTGGCCTTTTGGATTTGGACCGTGTCACGCTCAGAGTCAAAATCCATTGTGACATCGAGCAGGCGCTCATGAACTAACGTGATTCACAAATACGATCCAAAAGGAGCGAGAAGTCACTCACGTGCAGAGGACGAGTGGACACTTGAGGCATCTGAATCAGCGTCGCCAGGCGTCTCGGTTTTTCGGGGCACTGGAAAGGGGCGCAAGTAGCTCGGATTGGATGCACCAAGATAATAAGAACCAGCTGACCTTTGCATATAGAAGAAGACGAGGGGGGTTTTATCTTCGATATTGTGACATTCGACTTGATCTCCGATGATGGAAAAAGTGCTTTGAATATGACATCCCAGCGCTCCGACAACCAGCGAAGCAGAATCTCTGCTCTTTCCCCCCGCCCATCGCACACGCTCTTGGCAGTTGGAACCTTGGTCGTCTTGCCCGCAAGAACAGCAAGAGCAATGTCTTCGATAATCAGATGAGGCAGACGCTTGAACACTCCCATCATGTACACAAAGAGCGAAAGATTGGGAATAGGCATGAGCAGCAAGAGAATGTGGGCGATACGGACACAGACATCAGTCGCAGTAGCGGTGTGCAGCGTTTTCAAGGCGCTTTCATCTTCCAGAAAATCTGTCCGCTGTAGAGAAGGCACCACACACCAGGCCCAGAGAGCCTCGAAGATTTCTGGCAGCACCACAGGATCGGGAAGTGCGAACAGATAGGTCGAGAGAAGAGCATAGATTTCCAATAGGTCATCAGCGGAGTTCAGGGTCGTCTTCGAGCCAAAATAAGGCTCAGAATCAAAGTCACTGATCAGCGCCAGCAGTCGATCTCGATTGGGCTTCGGCGCGCCGGGCGGAGGAGTCTGAAAGCCTAGCCGCGAGTCAGTTCGAACTTCGAGGCAGATATCAGCGCTGACTGTTGCAACAGAGCTCCTTAACGCAGGACACTACCACAATGGGCAGATCATGTTCACACCCGCCAAGGACAGCTACAGTAGAAGCATACATGGTCGCTTCTCTTAGCGAAGTTCCGAAGACAGCTGGATTCGAAGGGCATCAGGGCCAAGAAAATATAAAGACATGAATTAGCGGACTCAGATCATGACCAGAGATCCTGCCCTCTGCGCGTTCAGCGCGCACTTGTCGCTTGATGGCGTCTCGCTGGTCCCGCTCCATCATATCTCGTTCATAAAGAGCTAATATATGATCCACATCAAGGAAATCAGGAATTCTTTGGGTCTTGGGATCGAGCAGGGCGTTGAGTGAACGAAGCAGAGGTTTGGGATCGAGGTTTTTGAGAGCACGCGCACTAGGAGAGGGAGGCGGGGATGGCCCCGCTGGTGGGCGCCCGTTGGGTACAGTCATAGCACGAGGTCTTCTGATCGAAGACCCAGTTGGCGAGATTGACGGCTTTCGAATTGCAGTGGGTGTGGAGGACGGCAGCGAGGAAGGGGAGAGTTGAACTGAATGCCGCTTGGATGGACGAATCTTGGATCCAGAAACGTGCAGATTTCTCGGGACTGCAGAAGTAGAGGCAGAACGCAACCTTGGAGCGTCTCGGAGTTCACTTGCACTAGGGAACCGTTCGCGAGGTGGCTTGAGAATGGGAGTGTAAGGATCGGGGGGTGTAGATACATCGCGAGTGTGCGGCATTGAAAAGCGAGTATAAAATGGCGATGGCCAGTAGGGCGTAGTATTATTTGTGCTTGTGCTTGGGGCTAGTAGTGGTCAAGGACTTGGATGGTCAGGCGGGGAAATTGCACAATGGCGATGCCCCGTATCAGCCTAAGCGACGTCGCACAGCCACCGCCGTCCCGATTGAGCGTGTGACACTTCGCCGAATGCTCATGATTTCCGTCCATTACTCTCCGGGTCCGACTTGAGATTGTGCACAACTGCGTTACCTGCTCGACTTGTATCATAAAGTCCTATCACTATGAACGGACAACGCCCTCCTCCTGCCGTGCTCCAGACGCCGGGCTTCGCCCATTTCGCGATCGCCTGGTCGCCCTTCCACACGACGCGTCTTGCTTTGGCGTCAGCCGCCAACTTCGGATTGGTGGGAAACGGGCGTCTGCATATAGTTTCCACAGCTCCCGCACCAGGGCCTACCGGAATCTCGCTAAACATCGATAAATTGTAGGTGTACATTGTGCGCGGCGCTCCATCTCAGTCTTCTAGCTTTGAAACACAGGACGGTCTATATGATGTGGCATGGTCCGAAGTACACGAGAACCATTTGGTCACTGCCTCGGGCGATGGATCCCTCAGACTGTGGGATATTATGCATAACGTGCGGTGATCGCTGTTCTCTATCCCCGTGTCTGACGCTTATGAAGAATCTGCCGATGAGAGCCTGGCAAGAGCACACTCGTGAAGTCTTCTCAGTGGACTGGTCCAATATCAAAAAGGATACTTTTGTTTCTGCGTCATGGGACGGGAACGTCAAGATTGTGAGACCAACATCGTTGGAATACTCTCAAGGTTCTGACAAGACAACTGTAGTGGACGCCCGAGAGACAGAGGTCTGTCCTCACACTAAACGCCCATCACGCATGTGTGTATCAAGCATTGTTTTCTCCGCACCAACCAGACGTCCTCGCCACTTGTTCAACCGATGGAACGATGAAGATATTTGATCTCCGTGCTCCTGCATACGTCTCGGGCGGCCCTGGAGTCAGCAACTTCACCAATCCAATGTCTGCTGCGGCTCTGACCGTACCCGCGTCCGGTGGAGAAGTACTTTCCCTCGACTGGAACAAATATCGTCCATTTGTTCTAGCCACGGGAGGTGTAGACAAAATGGCCAAAGTGTGGGACTGCCGTATGATTAAGCTGCAGGAGACGGGCGGAGTTGGTGGAGCGTGCGAGAGTCAACTCCTTGGGCACGAATTCGCGGTTCGGAAGGTCCAGTGGAGCCCACACCGTCCTGAAGTGCTCGCAACTGCTAGTTACGACATGAGTTGCCGAGTGTGAGTGATTGTCCATGACCGTCTTCTCGTGCGATGCAGACTGTTTTGCAGATGGAATACTGCGGCAACCGGGGCACCACAACTGATGTATATCCACGATCCTCATACTGAGTTCGTGGTAGGATGCAGCTGGTCGCTTTACGATGAAGGAATATTGGCGAGTTGCGGATGGGACAGTCGGTTGAATGTCTTCAGGATCTGAATACGGAGCTGTGCAATGCTTCAAAGTGTTTTCGATAACTGCTGTAGGATATAGATACAATGAGATTATATGAATTACATACTGTACACCTGCAATCCCGCCGCTACTTGCTTGACATAACGTAGCCCTTCGTGTCAAGCACTTGCTTCCCACATATTGCACAAAGACCTTTCTTGTATGCACATCCTATCAAACAGTTTCAGCGCGAATGCACAAGACGCAGCTTACGAATCCTTGCCATGACAGTATTTGCCCTTATTCTGTGTCACCGGCTGCTTACAGTCTTTACATTTCCCTTGATAGGGCTGCAGCAGTAACATGAGACTTGGTATAGTAAATTTGCAGAGAATCCTACCTGAAATCGATTCTTGGAGCTCCCGGGGCGAGATAGCAGCTTGTTTTCGCCAACTTTACGTGTTCCATCTTTGATACTGCTACTGCTAGCCGTGAATGGGTCTGGCGCAGCGAGTTTGGATAGTTTCTATGGCAAAATTCGGTGAGTGTAGCAAAGTCAGGACAATTACACGAGAACATACCTTCTCGCATTTGGCGCAAACCATATTGGTCGATGAGAAAGGAAGGCTGTGGCTGTGCGCTTGGCGTTCAGTGCATCATGCTCTTTCTTCCGTATCTTGCCCCATTCGCTCAAACAGATCTCCTGGATCTCTCAACTTGGACCCTCAACAGTCCACCAGACAATTGCTCAATTATCCCATTTGTTCTCCGACATTGCTATTTTCGATATCGTTCCCGTGGACCTTCTCTGTCCAAAAATGGCGACCTCGACCCCGTTCTTCGGTTCTTATTGTCATCGCCGGGGCTCGGGCACCCGACGCGCCTTCACCTCCCGAGCCTTCGACCTGGTTGACATGGTAGCGCACCAAAACGCGTGCTTGCGGCGCGCTTGCTCACAAAAGCTTTTTCTGTCGACTTACCGACCAACAACGTCCGGTAGCGCCTGCAAGTTGCAACGATGAAGAACAACTGAAAGACAACGATTCATGTTTTGCTGCCGATAAGATGAAACAGTACAATATACCTCTTTGCCGTCCTCCGCGATGTATAAATTGCGGTATTGGCTGCTGGTCAAGACAAACAAATCATGGCTCCTTCCCGATACTCAAAGCTCAAGCGCAAAGTGTCTCTCCCCGACGATGTCCTTATCCACCTTCTCAAGTATCTCGATCCTCGCTCTCTGTTTGTGGTTTCCAAGGTATATGGCGGTCTGCGTTACCGCTGCTTGTCTCAAACGCGACTCCAGATGTTCCGTCGCTTCCGCCGGTTAACCATGGACTTCCACTTGCCCCGTTACAAGTATGAGCTTGCTCGCAGCGGCATGAAGGATGGCCGTGTTGCATTATCGATGGCTCCGATAGTTACTCGGTTGCATCTGCTGGCGAACCACCAGAAGGAGTGGTCTCACTTGACTTGGACACACGAATACAAGCTCCAGGTCGCGACCCCTTCTCATTCAGGCGTTTCTGGTGGCATCTTGTATCAGATTCGACCTCATGGAACGTACTCCACGCTCGAAATCGCTGAGCTCCCATCGGCTCGACTGGGACGCAGCCCCGCTGAAACTCGTCGACTGCGGATGACCACGCCTCCTATCGAGACCGTCTGCATCGATCCTACCCAAGCCCTTATCATCGGGGCTCATATCTTCCAGTCGGTTTACTTGGTCCAGTGATCGGCATGTAACTGAAAAGTCTATCTTAGCCAAGGGGGGATCGTGGGCATCCAGCTGCACTTCCGGGACTTGTGGTCATTTGGTCAACATCCGCGAGCTTCGGCTGAGTCATACCAACTACCCACTCAAAACACGATGCCAGTTGCGCGGACCGCGATTTCGGTGCACGGATCCAAGCTTGTAGTCACTCTTCATTTCGTTAATGGACAGATCAACCACTTGCTCATGGACTGGCGCAATCTCGGGGCCCGGGTAAGTTGATCCGGTTGTGTTCTGTGCCTGCGCTGACCGTGTCCAAAGTGGATCGACGATCTCGGAGCGCGTCTCCTGGATGACGATCTCCTCCTTGTTCTCTGCAAAAAAGGCGGACATGCGCCTGTTCTCAATCTATGCGACATATCCGATATCGCAACCATGTCAGTGATCAGGCAGTTTGAGCTACCCCCGATGTGGGCTCATCTCATGATCGAATTTTGCTCAAACGATTCGCTCTATCGTCCCACTCCCGGGGCCCTGTTCCAGTCCGACCCTGTCAACCGTTTGCTAGCTCTGGCGGCGAAACCTGTTCAGTCTGTCTCGGGAAACAGCCAATCTAGCTGGATGTTTGTCAACGAAAACTACTTCAGAGATGCGCCCATGCGCCGTGATTATCCCCTCGTCCCGTGGACCAACTGGAGTCAATTCGTAACTGTCAAAGATCTCTCGCAGCATCAGGGTCAACTGGGTCGTCCCTTCCTTGTTGGGTCGCGGGTCGTCTATCTCGAATACATGCGACCGACGACGTATCTCAAGATCATCGAGTTTGCGCCATTCCCAGATGCATCGGTTCGGCCTGACCCGAGTTGGGTCGTCATGGGCCACAAATCGGGCCTGATTCCGAGCGAAGCCAAACGCCGGCTTTCTTCGAGTACCACCGAACATTACGGTGTGGATGATATCTCCATCAGTGACGATAATGTCGTGCTTTTCCTCGTACGTTCTCGTCATTTCCCGGTCGGATTTTCTCCTGTTAACGCCGTGATAGGAACTGCAGCCCGGATACCGCCCGATCAATGTGCTCACTTTCGGCGCCCCGCCGGCCTGAAAGTGCATAGACTAACATACTTCCACGCTGTCTCAGCCCACTGTCATGTATCAGAATCCCATTTCAATGTTATGCATGCTATCCAACGACGCCTTTCGCTCTCGTCTTCGCCGTCTGCTCTTTCTACACTCCACGCACGTGTCTGATCTCCGGCCGTCTCTTGCTCAAAAGCATTGTCCAGCACGAATCCTTCCTTGAGCACCGCGATCTGGAACATGCGGCATCAGTCGGACATGGCTCAAGTCGTGCAAGATATCCACTGACAAGAAATGATTGAATTGTGTAGCGTCCTGTGTGCAGACCCGCAAAGAGGTAGACACGCGAATCGGGTGTTTTCTTCAGAGTCGACTTCAGAGCGGTGATGAATATCCCGTGGAAATCCGGATTCCACAACGTGTCGGCAGCAATGATCACATCGAACTTTTCGTTGTCGGGCGCAAAGAGCGGAGATGGGTCTGTAGAGCCCCAGTCGTATGCCAGTGCTCGACAGTTCCTCGACACGCCGTTGTCAACGACGTTCTGGGCCAGCGTGCGGATGAGCTCTTCGTCCGGGTAGTCTGTCACGACGACCTGTATCTCATCGGCAGCATGTGTTTTGGCGATCACGATACTAGGCAGTCCAGCAGCTGCTCCCAGCTCGAGCACTTTCACGTGTTTGTTTGTTGGACTGTGCTTTATATGGTCCGCCAGGTGTAGATATTCGATGTGATCACTTAGAAAACGAGATGAAGCCCAAACGGACGAAGCATGCAGGGCCCAGTTCGCGGCTTTTGTATCGGGTGTTTGAAGGATGACTTGGCAATGCGGTGAGCGGTACACGAAGATCGCTCCGGCAGAAGAGAGTGTTATCGGTTGGTATTGGTAGAGCGATAGCAAAGAACTTGACAAAATGTCCTCCGGTAGCTCGTCGTCCATCGCGAGCCCCGATTTGGAAGTCTGATGGCAACAGAAGTTTGGTATCCGACTCGTCGGAGTCGGAGTCCGGGCCGCCTCAAGTATTCTGCGCTTGCGTCCCAAACACAACGAAGGCTTAGCCTTGTCGACTCTAGTTGCTGCTAACATAGCATATTATGTGCGAGACCAGCCATTGCTGTACATATGCTCATGTCAACTATCGCACGAGTCTAAAGCAGAGACGTTCAGGAGACGTTAATTCAGGCCACACACCCCATGTCTCCCTCCACCACCTCAGCTCGTCTCTCAAGCGACATAAGAGCTCTCACAGATGCGCTGACAAGGATATCTGGCTTCGCATCATCTCTGTCGCCCTCGAAACACCAGGAAGCCACCTCCCATAGGACCTTTCACCATGTCTCGACGCTTCTGAATAGAGACGGATCGGAGAAAGACATGGCCCTTTCAGGAGTCTCGCTTCACCACCGGTTCTTGCTGTTTGCTGTGTGCTCCGAAGACGAGTCAGCGCAGTCTGGCAAGAGTACATCAAGGAAGATGAAGATCGAGCATCTACGCACTACGAAGAGGTGCACATCACCAGAGCACATGGACGCTCTGCTTAACTCAGGGTGCGCAACCCAATCCCAAGATGCTGCTTTTTTCAAATCAGTGTAATAGATTGGAGAGTGTTCCCTTGAGGCAGCATACCCTCGACCTCAGCCGTATCCTCGAAGGGTTCGCTGCATACGATATCCCAGCTGAAGAACGAGAGGATCGTCAATCCAAGTGTCTCGTTTTCATCCTCCAGAGGTCCTTCGGTAAGATAGCCCAGCGGTTCAACACCATCCAATCCTTTTTCCTTCGAGAACCATGGTGGAAATTCGCCATTGGATGGCAACCCAGCAAAGACGAACTGAAGCCGAAGAAGTTCAGTCTCAAGCCTCATATTGCGATCATCTACAATGCCTTGTCGCCTGGGACGATGCCATTTGGTGCTTCGGTTATTCTAGATACTGCCATGGCCGGAAAATGTGTGCAGGGCCTCGGTGTGCTTCTGGATGTCATCGACAGGAAGATCTGGACCTGTCGATCAGCGTCTGCTTCGGAAGATAGTTGGGAACGACTGAACACGACGATAAGAATGTTGTACTCGCTCTTATATGAGAGCGACATACTCCGGCACATCCTCTATCTCCCATGCTTTTCGCTGCACATACAATCACTATCAACTGATGAAGGTCAGTGCAATCGTTCAGGTGGTTGATATACTCATTTCTTCTCACAGACAGATGCGACGGGCCTTTTCTCTTCCGTCAACTGCAACGGGTAGTTGCCTGGCATCGGGCGCTGCTTGTTCTATCGGGGACGAAAGTAGTCCGTGCTGCGATCCCCGTCGACTTGAGCGTCATAGATGTTCCCCCGTCTCCCTCAGACCGCACTGCGATCATGAAACTGGTCCACGAACTCTACCCGGCGAGCTCGTCCGAGACGATGAGCCTTATCGACTCGTATCTTCTTGATTTTGGGGTCTATGACATGGATGCCAAGTTTCCCGCCCACCACAAGGCCAATCTCCTGGGAGTAGTCATGGCTGCAGATTCACCCAACATCGCCTCTCTGTTCGACGCCACTACCGCATCAGATCCTAGACGACTGCATGCTTTGAAAGATGTGGGTCAGTTTCCCAGCGTTGATGTCCTATCTGATAAATTGAAGGGTTTGTTGCAAGCGTTGGGTACCTCTGCATCTTGTTGTTACATGTGCGACAAACTGGCGTCTCTTCTTTCTATCGATCCGTCGGCCCCAGCACCTTCTTTCTACGACACAGTGCACCAGCCGTGGTCTCCTCCGCTAGGCTCTACAGTACAAGTCCTCCGACTCCTGCGCTCTGATCTCATGGATCAGCTCAGACGCTATCTTGACTGGGTCGTTCTCCAGGAGTCGTCCAATCAGCGCATCGAAGAAGAGAAGCCGTTGAGGAAGATTCCGGGGCAGGGTTCCATGTTTCACATGATTGAGACGATAAGTGCGACCGTCTTCTTTGCCCACAACATCAGTTTTTGACCGACCCGTGCCTAGTCGCATCCCATGTCAAGGGCTGAAGTTGGACTTGGAACATATCATGCCTCGTTTACCTATCTTTTTGGAAATCGCTTATCTAATGTTGTAATCCCTCGCTGCCTTCGCATATCTTGAAGCGGATAAAGTAGAATCTGGAATCTGAAATATAATCGGGTCGCCTGCAGCTGTCCACACGTGTTTGGCACATCGCCAAATGCATACACATACCGCCGAGCGCCCGTTGCCACTTCGCCTCATGTCGGCAGCAGGCTGTCTTTCTCCACCGGTCTTGCTGAATGAAGAATATCTTCCTCCGTAAACCTGAAATCCCACCATCCAAGCCTTCGCGCTCGCACCGGCCCACTGACGCCTATAACGTTTGGATCCCCCCGGAGGCCTCGCGCGTCCCCACTCCAGGTCCCAGCGCGCGGGCTTCCTCGAACGCCGGCCCAAGCCACGCGCAGGAGTCGTACCGTGGGACTGGACGCACTCTGCCACGACCTGAGCCGCCTTCATCGAATAGCTACAAATATACAGGCGGACAAACTACCAAGACCGGATTCTCCTACTCCAATCATGCACCACAGCCCGTCCCCGTGCAACCCATCCCGATACAACCTTACGGCCAATACTACCTGTCCAATCCTCCGACAAGTAGCATCGAGCGCCCAGAGTCCCGTAACGGGTATACGACATATGTGCCCACACACTTCCAATATCCCCATTTTCCTGGCGTCCCGGTGCCGCAACCTACGCAATCGGAATACCGAAGGGCCAAGGAAGAGAAACGACGCGCCCGTGAGTCGAGCGCTCGCCCATCTCCCAAGAAGCACCGAGAAAAAGAAGCGACGACATCATCGTCACGCGCTCCACATCTCGCGACGTCGACGTCGAGCATCAGGCTCACGCCGGACGAATTGGAGCCGCGGCATCGGAAGCGCGATGCTGGTGAGGTGCGGACGAGGAAGGATAGCCGCACGAAGGAAGAGGATCAGATACGCGACCCGGCGAGAAAGAGGGAAAAAGAGTCGCGGCGAAAGAGCAAGGTCGATGGCCGGATGGATGAAGGAGAGAGCTCGGATGGCTCGGTCCAGCGGCCCTTGACCGCTGGGCATCATCTTCGTCATACAGATGGAAAGGTCTGCCTATTAATTATGTGCTCTGGACCTCCCGATGTGAACTGATCTGGGACGATTAGAAATTACAGCCCCCGGACCCTGCGGCACGAACCAGGGCTGTGAAACCGCCAGCCGATATCCACCCAGCGCCTCAACTGTCCAACACTATTCCTGTTCAACTGCCTGCGCCTTCCCAGCGGCCGAATCAGACTGCTCCAGCGCCTGAAAGCGATACCGAGAGAGGAGGGACTCTGGTCAGTAACCCTGAACTCCGGAATGGGCCGTCTCACTCAGCATGTCGTAGAGTCGCGGGCGAAGTTTCCTCCGAGCCACTGGTCTCGCAGGCAGGTCCAAGCAAGCATCAGAGGAAAGCCTGAAGAAGAAGGTGAAAGAGGCGAAGGAAGTGCGTCCTTCGTGCTCTTCACGCTCCGGGACCGAGCTCACAATCCGTCTCAGTCCAAGGGCATCTGGCCATTCTCGCGTTCGAAATCCTCACAGAAGATACCGCCAGTTGTCACGGTGCCACCCCCTGTTCGGAAAGCTCGAGCGGACAGTACTCCCTCCTCAGCGCGGCCACCGCTACTGCAGCCTGATGTCATTACCCGCCCTGAACATCGACGATACGCCAGTGAGCTCGTGGGGAATTCTCGTACTGCGCAACAGCGGGACCAGCCGCAGGTCGAGCCGCAACGATTTGAACTACCCCGAGTTGAACCCCCGCGGATTGATAAGCAGCGAACGGAACCATCACGAGTTGAAGCGCAAGCGAGGGCCATGTTGTTCGCCCAACCTCCGCCTACGTCCCAGTCACGTGTTTCGCGGGTAGCGGGCCACGAAGTCCCGCCCAGTTTGAGCAGTGCCGATCCAGTGCATAAAGGGCCTGCTCGCTCAGATGGACCACCTCTCTCGAGCACTATGGCCGGACATATAGTCTCTCATGGTCGAGATTCTGTTTCCTATCCCTCACTCTATGCACCGCCTGTGGCCAACTCCAGTTCTAATGCAGAGAACAGGGTATCGCAGCTTGTTACCAGCTACGAGGCCCGGCTGTCGGATACCCAGTTGCGCCCAGCTGTTGAGAGAGCGCCGACTGTCATCCAACCGGCATCGGACTCCACAGCACGCGCGGCACCCAAGCCTGAGGTTTCTTCATCCATGCAGTCTGAAGCACCCAAGACGTCTGCCTCTCAACAACGGCCTTTGCATGGCATTCCCAAGACAGCCTCAGACCATTCTGCCCGGCATGCGACTGAATCCAGCCTTCTCTCTCGAACCCATCCCGAGTCCTCATCCGATGAGAGGCCGTCGTCCAAGTCCAGGAGGAGGGAAGAGGCATCTCGTGTTTCCGACACCCGCACCAAGCATTCTCCGCCGTTGATGAACTCCAGACGGGCAGAGGCCGATCCCAAGCCTCCTCGACCGAAGCTCGAGCGAGACCGTGATGATAGGCCTAGCCGCTCGAAGAGAGAAGTGGTGCCTGTTCCGGTCATGAAGACACCGTCCAAAGACTCTTCGAGACACACATCCAGTCCTTCGTCTGTTCTGCTGCACCAGCGCGCGTCAGACAAGGAGAGAGTGTCTCCGCTGCATAATCCGGTCAAGCCGCTGTCCACGAAAGCTGCTTCCAGCTCCTCCAAACCTGAACGGCCTTTCTTTCCTTCCCTTGTGGCGGAAAGACATACACCCCTTGTCAACGGTCAGCAATCCCAGCTTCCGCCTGCGGATTCTGCTTTGTTTTCGCCCGGACCGGTCGCTCCAGATCCCGTTGTCAGACCGCCGAGTGTGCAGCCGGAAAGTCGCGCGTCGATCCACCCCTCCCCTCAGACGTTGATGGTGCCCCCAATTCATCATAGACCGTCCGAAGAGTCCATTCTCAAGACGCCCTCCTCCCTTGCCCAGTCCATCTTCCCTCCGACTGCTTCCCGCACGTCGTTGCCGGCGTCCCTGTCCACTGACCCCAAGAGGAAAGGTCTCCTCGGAATGTTCAGAGCCAAGCCAGGAAATGAATCTGAGCCAGAGCCTTACAGTCACAATCGTCCGAGCAGCCGCAACACGAGATCCGCTGCGCACCGGGACGAGGATACCCCTCGGGCGGTTCCTCCATCGCCGATCACAATTCCCAAGCCCCAAGCCGTAGCGCCAGATCGCAAGAGCCCGAACTCCAGGGTCTTTTCCTCATTCCGCTACCTCACGACCAAGCGATATAACCGAGTGTCGACCGCCTCGATGGATGCAGTTGATGGCACTGCGGTGAGTTTGTCACAGCTGCTGTGTGTGTGGTCGGCCGACCCGATGCTCATTACACACGGACAGACAAACACAGTGATGGGATCGCCGACAGCGTCTCATCAGAGCAGCCAGTTTCCGAGCAGCTCGCCGCCGCAGCGGGATCCATGGGCGGCCACCGAAGACTGGAGGGTTTCGGAGCAAGCCCACCACGAGACGAGCAGGAGGCCCGGCCGGAGACAGCGACCTGGGATCGTATTCGATGTACCAGAGGATCCATTCGAGGTGTGTGTGCCGCTCGCTGCTAGGCTTTGCGAGGGGGTTCTGTGCTGACTGTGCTGACCCAGGAAACTAAACGCTCGCGGCCGGCGCGTCTGCGGAAGTCTGCGCCGACGCCTCAGCCCGAGCCGGATGCGGCCGATGTGCCTGCTGCTGAGCCAGACGAGTGAATTATGCTCATTAACGTGCTAGATGCTATATATTGCTCTCGCTATGCTTTCAAGAATAGTCGTGTATCATATCTGAGGGGATTATGCTATGTATTGTATTGCTTTGAGTTCAGCGGAACCCCATCGTAAGTTGGACGAGACGGATAAGGCCAAGAGGCGGATCGCGAGCAGGGACATTGTGAAACCGACCAACGCTCGGACGTGAAACAGCTCCGGATTTCCATCGCACGTGAGTGGATATGTCAGGCGGATAAGATTAGATGTAATATTCGATTAATCACATGCAGATACGAGTTCCTGGCCGCTATAGCTTCGATCCCGACTTGCGTTTGGGCTCAGTGTGAAGCTGCTGCACCCATCCAAACTTGGCATCCGTCCTGTTTTCTCGACGGGGCACTGAAGTGAGCATCCGAACGAACACGGTCAGATTGAGCAGTGCAGAGACCCCCGGCGAGTGACGCACCCCAGTCTCGACCTCCGTCGACTGCAGACGGGCACACACTCTTCCAGTCGGCTTTGGTTGGGGAAAGGAACAGCGAGCTCCCGCAGTTTGAGCAGAAAGAGCGAATCAGCGTTTGTCCGCTCGTCGTGTCGGAGTCGTGGTACTGCTTCACAAGTCCCTCGCCTTCTGTCACGGATATTTTCTATGTGGGGTTATCAGCGAGGGTTTTTGAAGACACGGTCAAGCGATGTTCACATCCGGGGCGAAGAACGCGTTCGTCATGAAGGCAGACCCCGCCGACTTCTTGCAGTTGGGGCAGTGACAGACCATATAAGAGAAAGGATCTCCTTGGACTGTGAAGCGCACTCTCTTGCACAAGCAAGAACCTTGTCGGATGGTGGCCATCCTCCAAGTTGAGGTGTGGGGGGAGCTAGTAGATGATCAACCGGTAGGACAACTCGAATAAGCGACCGATCGCGGGAAGCACGTGATCCCGATTCGTCCTGGGAGCGAACCGGATACATGCGCTTCTCTGTGCCTACGATTCCACTGGTTGTTTCCGGCCCTACTCTGCCAAGGTTCTCTGTTAACGAAGCGATCGAACGTGTATCCGCATTCCTGTCTCATGGAAACGTGACTGTGCTCACGGGGGCCGGTGTGTCTGTAGACAGCGGGATCAGGGCATACAGAGGCAGCGATGGACGGTACATGAATCCAAACTACAAGTACGTGCGAAACGTTGCATGCCAGGAGGAGCGTTTAAAACACACGCGCAGACCTATTTTCTATCACCAACTCGTCGATCAGACTGATTCCGGGCACACCTTCCGGTCCGCAATACATCTCGTGTCGTCTCTTCCGCGTTCCAAAGTGTCCTCAGGCAGCGGTACTGGCTGCGGTCCTACCTTGGGTACCCGTCAGTGCGACGCGCACTGCCGAATCCGACCCATTTCGGGCTGGCGGCTTTGCAGCACACGAACGTCGCGCCGAGAATCATCACACAGGTGCGGCCGGCTTCGTCGCACGACTCCAAGGGCACGCGTTGATCTGGCATGTAATCCAGAATGTCGATGGTCTCCACCATCGTGCCCTGGATCTGTCTCCTGAGATCAAGGACAGTCGCATCCTGGAGCTTCACGGAAGCCTGCACGTTGGTCTCTGCGATCGCAGCATAGGCGCATGTTGATCCCCTGTTTCACGTAGCACGTACACTGCAAGCATGGGCACACCGTTGATCGTGTCACATTCCAAGACTGGCTATCAGTTGCGAATCCCCAGTGGAAGGCATTCGCCGAGGAAACAGAGCGGACAGGCGAGCGCTTACGAACGAATCCGGACGGAGATGTACGTTGTTTCCAAGACTGCTGCCAGATGTGTCATTTGCTGATATTGGGCCATGCAGGTCGCCATTGAGCATCTGGGGCAAGTTTACCGTGATTTTGTGGTCCCCGAATGCCCTGAATGCCAGGCGGAAGGTCGTGCCAACAGCATCCATAAACCAGAGATCGTCTTTTTTGGAGAGTCGATTCCGGGCCCAATAAGAGACCAGTCGTGCGCAAGACATCTGATTCTCCGCTCTCTGCTTCTCATCACACGCGTTCTAGATTTCACGATGTCGAGAAAGGCGGTCGGCTGCTTATCGTGGGAACGACATTAGCGACTTATTCCGCCTTCCGGTATGTGAGATTCAGATGCTCCCTGTCCCGACTCTTCCCGATAGCACATGAACAGGCTGCTGAAACACGCTGTTGATCTGGGAAAACCCGTGCTGCTCCTAAATGTGGGCCCTTCCCGCGGGGACAGTGTCCCGGGAATCGAGCGGCTCGACATGGCCAGTGGCTTGATCATCGGGCAAGTTGTTCGGGCCGTCTTGTGCGTCGATGCATTCGCTGTTGGCTGTCTTCTCACATCGTGTCCAGGGGCGGTAAAGCTTTCGATGACCCCGTCGTTGCAAAGATGCTGCAGAGCGGTATAGTCCAACCCCCTGAAGACGATTCTCAACCTGTCGCTGAAATGTCCAAATAATCCACGCAATCTAATATATTACAATGTGACATGCACTAATGGGGATTTGCACGTAGATGAGCCAAGGGGTGGTATATCGAAGTAGAGGGTATGGTATATACAATAGGAATGGGAGGAACAGGCATTCAGGCGATCGGGAAGTATCGCGGCTTGACCTGCGACCAGCTCCACTGCTTCCATTGAAGGTTCTCGGAAAAGTCGTATTGCCGAATTGGAGGCAGTGGCGGTGTGTCTGAATGCTCGCCCAGTTGGGTAGCATCACTCTCCTTGTCGTCATCTTCCGGTGTGAGTGCCCGAGCGGACGAAGGCGACGACCCGGACGACGCGGAGGTGACGGACTGGCGTCGGGCGTGTCAATCCTGAGTGCCGGGAGAGACGCGCCGCGGACGAGTGACTTGCCTGGTTTGAGTCCCTCCTCGCACTTGCAGACTCCCGCACGGTCTTCTTGATGCACCGGCCGCGGTGTCTCGTCCAATGCGACGCGTCGAAGTCGCTCTTTGTCGACAGCTTGATGTTCGCGCCGCAGCCGAGGCAGCGCACGAGCGCGGGGCTGAGTATCTCGAGCATAGTGTCCTCTCGCAGCTTCATCTCGCGCATCTGTCTCTTCGTGGGGGAAAACGCGGTCGTGGTGTCGGGTGGCATGTTGGCTGAGCTGATAACACGTAAGAGAGAGAGAGTGAAGCGTTACGACGCGTCGCGGGCTCTGCGCCGGCCGTGAGGACTACTTACAATGGAGAATGGGGCACGGCAAGAAAAGGAAATGGCGGGAGAAGCGTTGATCGCTGAGGATGGGTGGTTCGTGCGGACTTACTTATAGGCCCTCGCGGCAACAGCTCACACGGGAAACACGTACGATGCGTGCGTCCTCCGCGCTGTGGAGTCCCAGCCAAACTGGCGCCCATATGTATACAAAAACAATCATGTAACTAATTAAATTAAGACGCCATAGACTGCTGGTAGCCATGCATGAATGCCTTGAACGGCATGAGAAACCATCCCAGCACACTCGGCGGCGCCTTGTTCACCGGCTCATACGATTCTTTGCGTGCACGATTTGGGGCCCGTGCATCGGGATCAGCGACATCGAGGTCAGGCTCGTCCAAACCGCGCTTCGTTCCACGGGTGTGTGATGCTTCTGCTTCCGGCGCTTCTTCCGACGCAGGCGATCGCTCCTGCGGTGCTTTCGTGGCCCTGCCTGACTTCGAGGGGCTGTCGCCGTCAGGATCGACTTCCATTCTCCGGCCTAGACACGCACCTCGTACAAGTCTGCTTGTGCGATTCCCAGTTCGTCAGTGTGTAGTCCGCATCCCCATCTAGTTCCACCGTAATCCCGCAAAAACGACAGTCGACGTGCCGGGGACCAGAGCTGCTCGCCTGCGAATCGTTGACAAGCTGGATCTTGCGTGTAGCCATAGCCACACGATGGCTCACCCTGCGGAATGAATCAGCGTTCAAAGCACACGGGGAACGTGGCATGCAAACGAACACGGCGCCTCCGCAACTTGTCTGATGCGCGTTCCAGTTGCTTAATGCGTATTCTGACTTGGCCGCCAAACGAATCCACTTGTCACATTTCCGGCACAGGACTTTGTCAGGCAACACCGTCTTGGCACGCTCGTCCGATTCCAGAATCGCCTTACGTTGCTCAACGGAGTGCCGCGTGTTGGAGCGCTTAGTCGTACCGGCTTCAGATCGGAGCTCGCTTTGTGCATCATCTCTGATATGCACAGTCAGAGCAACACGATACGGCATGAATTGCACATACTCCGTGGCTGAAACCTTCTGATCACAGCGCTGACGATGAGTTTCCCATGGTTTGACCCGATACGTCTGCTTCCTTCCCAGATTCACCACTTTCTTGCATCGGGTGCAGGTGACACTGTGAGGCTCGATGTCTGAACAATCGGGCTGATTGTTGAAATACTCGATGCGCTCAGCCTCGGTACGGCGGATAGTTCCCGCTCCCATCGATGACTCGGCCACAGACGTCGCATCATCCACCGTATCCGGAGTCGCAAAACGTCTATTTGAAAATGAGTATGCGAGAGACAGGATTCGGACTACGCAGACGGACTTTCGATTGACCGACGAGACAGGCTTTTTCGACGAGGGAGACTCGGTGGCACTGGCGTCGTCGGCCACCTGCTTGAGCGAGCTGATCGAGGACATGGAGCGGATATGGGTTTTCTTTGCGCTGGCGCCTGGCGTCTCCGTCTTGCCTGTCGTTCGTGGGCCTGGTCCGGGAAGACTAGGTGCAATCGAGACCTTCTCAGGTGGCTGTTGCGGAGAGTAAGAGAGGGACACGCACTGAACTTCGACCTTTTTCGGTGCCCTCCCCGGAGACTGCGAAAACATATCAGTTTTAGTGTACACGGAAGCCAGCTCGACCGGGCGCACTGCAGCAATCTCCTTCCCCTTGGAAGACACCGTCTTCTTGGGCGTCTTGGTCGTTATGGGTTCAGACACAGGGGTACCAGTGTCAGGTTGGGTGGCAGGTTCGTCGAGGGGTTTAATGGTCGAAACTTTGCTGTTCGGCTTTACAGCAACTTTGCTTGGAGGCTTGACGACACCAGTCGCCTCAGACATCGTTACGTCCTCAGTTTCCTCTTCCTCTTCAGACGCGGAGCTAGATTTGGTCAGATGTTGAGTGGAGGGACGCGCAAATCGCGTACTTCACTGAGCTAGAGGTGTCTTTTCGCTGTGGGAATAGAATGAACATTGCACGGAGGACATGATCACTGTTCTGACCTTAGAGCGAGATAGATACGTTTTCTTTACAACAAGACTTGTCATAAGGTCAGATCTTGTAAAGCAAGGTAGATATGGAGAGAGCGTACTGCTCGGAAGAGGTCATGCAGTACCAGTAACCGCAAAGCCAAGCAACTGAATGCGGTAGTACAATGATGAATGGTGTTGTTTGGAGGTTTACGTAATTAAATAACACGGTATTGTCGGTACGCGATCTCGCGTCTGTTTGCATGTATGTGTGTCATATTGGCCTGTGCGGCGGGCGCGTGCGCTAAGTTATTACTACAATTTAGGGCCGATCTCTTGTACCCTTACAACTTTCCTTTATCTTCTCCATGAGCCTCATCCCCGAATATCTCCGCAAAAGCTTGACCGAGCTCCGGAAGCATGTCTTGTGTGATTACGCCTCGGCCTTGCTTGCGGAAAGCACGTCGACTGGCAGTGCGTGTGACCAAGCTGCCACCGACCGCAGCAAGCAGCGGGAACTGAGATGCAGGTATCGACTTGTCGCTGTGGAACAATCAGATAGATTGGAGAGGCGGGGCTGGTGGGGATTAGACTCACCCAAAGACACCGTTCTCGTAGCATTTGGCCCACGCTAGGAACGTACCCACGGTTCCGCTCAGCACGTCTCCTTGCCCGCCGCATCGTTTCATTCCACCCTGACCATCCACCTCGATCTGCTGCTGTGTTTTCTCCCGCTCGGGATCTGCTCCAGCCATGCTGCTCGCCTCCAGATCAGCCGCGTTGCCGGTCGTATCCACCGCAATGACATCTGCAGCGCCCTTCTGCAGCACAGTCACACCTCCCAAGGCCCGGGACACCGACCCAGCACGTTCGTTGGCTGGTGTCTTTGGATCGATCCCAACTTGTTCACTCAGACGTGCGAATTCAGCAACATTGGGGGTGACAACGGCTCGACGGTAACCCTTGATGATGGAGATATCTTGTCCGACCATCCACAGCGCATCCGCATCCAGAACGAGGAACATTCCCTCAGCGCGTGCGAGCGATACAGCCATCTTGGCAAGCGATTGCATGTACGGTTCCCGACCAAGGCCGGGTCCGACCACAAGCACATGGAGACGGGAAAGGATAGATTTGAGTTCTGGTCGCACTTGGTCCTCCGATACATCCTCTCGTAAGATGGGGTGGACGATGAGATCAGGGGAGTAGGATTTGATTGCACTGGCCGCACTAGGAGAACAGATTACATGCGAAAGATCCGCGCCCTGCGTACATTGATGACATGAATGACTTTCAGGAGTCGGAAGAGAGAAACACACAACACGTAGAGCGGTTATCGCAGCGAAAAAGGGAGCGCCTGTATAACTTGCGGCAGATTAATGGATTCCTCATAGGGCCCGTCCGAATGGACACATGAACTCACTCTAGAGCACCGCCCAACACTCCAACTCTGCCTGAAATCAATCAACACTTATTTGGAATACCGCAAGTGGCAATTCGGACCAGATTGGCCCTTGTGCAACGATCCATCGAGAGGGGGAATGAGTTGCTTGGCCTGTGCAACAGCCCGCTTGAGTGTCATTCGTCGCCGTGTCGCCTTCAAGTCGATGGACATTATGTAAGCCGTTAAACACCCAATACGTCACACCTTGCGCAGGTTGAATCACTGGCAGGATCCTCATCTCAGTCTGAGGGGAGTTGAGCCAGCTCCGCATAGAATCTCATTCGGATGAGAACACGGCGATGATTTCCCTAGACGCGGATCTCCGTCGCTGCGACGAACTTTGCAAGTGACTGACGATGGCGTCTGGCTCGATTGCTGGCCTAAACCGTGAGGCACAACAAACACGTAGAATTTTTGCTCATCTCTAATTTATGTTGTCAACCACGGCCTACCCCAGAACGATTCAACGAACACAATTATCTGTGTGACAGTATCTAATGTAGCAGATAAGATCATCTGTGGCTAGCCGCAACACGACGGCGTTAGGTAAGCCGTTAGTATCCTGTCGCAAACAACGTGGGTCAAGAATCGGAGCAACTCAAGCCCGCCTAGCCTCTAGGCCCCGACTCCCGGACTGAGCGATGGAGCCCTGGATGGACTTGCTCTTAGATCAGGATCCTTCTCTATTGCCATCACTCCACTCTCAACTTCGGACGTGTGCACTGGTTGTTTCTCAGCTCTATCAGCACGTGGGCGAGAGGTTCTATGGGATATTTGTTTCCAACGTTCTCCAACTGGTCTCCACGGCAATTCCGCACGCAGAGCCGCAAAGCGGGCGGCGTCCGGGGGGCTGTGATAATGACTAAATGCCATCAAATCTACCCGGTATATGAAGATCCATTGTTCTCCCCGTTCTTTTTGTGTCCATCCTTTGGCCTTCCCCCTCCCTTTTAACCATCCCTTCCCCCGCGGCATCCGACACTTCTCATCATGCCATCCTTCTCTCTCCTCGCTACACTCTCTCTACCCCTCCTTGCTCTCGCCGCACCTCACGACATCCGCTCTGTGAACGCACACCGTCGCGATCTCGGCAAGCGTAGCACTTTCAAATTGGTGGATCACTTTAACGGAACGGATTTTCTGTACGCCGCCGCGCCGATGCTCGCGAGCCGCGATTGACTCTGTGTCCAGTAAATGGGACTTTTTCTCTGCCGCTGACCCGACACACGGCGCTGTCAACTATCTTACTGCGCAGGAGGCTCAAGCCAAGAACCTCGCCTTCACCCAGAAAGACGGAACGACTGTGCTCGCTGTCGATAACACGACGAAGCTCAAGCCAGGCCAGAAGCGCGACTCGTGAGTGCTGTCTATTCCTCCCGCTGCCTATTGCTGACGCGTCAAAGGGTCCGCATCAGCTCGCCCAAGTCGTACAACCAGGGGTTGTTTATTATGGGTGCGTGCTAGTGTGGCGACTCGTCTGATCGCTGACCTCTCACAGATGCATGGGCCATGCCTCACGGACCAACGTGAGTTCAGGCGGAGTGTCCTATTGCTTGGATACTGATGTTCTATCCCAGCGTATGGCCCGCTTTCTGGATGGTCGGCCCCAACTGGCCTCTCGGTGGTGAAATCGACATCGTTGAAGGTGTCGAGGACGCCTCCACCAACCAGATGACCTTGCACACCTCTGAGGGCTGTTCCTTGGCTACTTCGCTCGTTCACGAATTCACTGGCGCGCACACAAGCACAACTGATTGCACCAGTGGGGGCAGTAACAACAATGGATGGTGCGTCATGTGATCTTTGACTGTAATCTAGCATTCATGTTCCCATAGTGGTATTACCGACGCTAACCCGAAGACATATGGCCACGAATTCAACCTGGCCGCGGTCCGTCCTTCCATAAATAGATTCGTCACGTCTCTTATCATCGCACTAGGGCGGAGCCTGGGCAACCCTTGTTGACAACTCCGGGATCAAGATCTGGCACTTCGAGAGGAATGCCATGCCGAGTGATATCACGGCGCAGAAGCCAAACCCAAGCAACTGGGGCAAGCCTGCCGCGTTCTTTTCGTCGTCAGCCTGCCAAATTGCGTCACACTTCTCGAACATGGTCATGACTTTCGACACCACCCTATGCGGTGACTGGGACGGCGCTGTTTTCCAGGGCGGCTCCACCGCCTGCGCCAATGCCGTCGCTGACCCGTCCAACTACGATCGTAAGCAGTGGATTGCCTCGCTTGTTGATGGCCAACTCATCTCTTGCAGTTGCCAAATGGATGCTTAACTATGTCTCTGTCTACGAATCTTCATGAATCGCATGGCCGACTACACCCACAAACTAACCACATCACTCTCTCTCTCTCTAGAAAACTAGAAACACGGATCACTGTCGCTTTGGGTTGTTGTATTTCTTCATCTGCTAGTCACATGAAGCTGGTTCTCTATCACCAATGTACTAGATACATATGTTTTCGCGTTGTGGGAATTGATTTCTTCGCGCTTGTACTCGTTTGCTTGACGCTCCACTCGACGCGAGTGAAAAGTGGTATCTGATGGCGCATGTGTCACGGGGTCGCGCACTTCCATCCCTCCGACCATCAACCGATTATGGAGGCTCCAGCTCCCTCCCCTCCAGCTCCGCCCGATTCCCCTCCCAAGGAGACGTCCTGGCCACGTAGAACAGCGAAGGTGGCAAACATCCCTTTTTCTCTAGCAGCTGTACGCTTATATCTATGATTTGACAGGCTTGTTCGAATTGCAGGTTGGCCGCGGCTATGCATTATCTTGATTCTTTGCCCTCCGTTCTAAACACGCCCTCAGACGGGACAAAGTTCGGTGTGATGGAGCGAAACCGTGCAGCGGGTGCACTAAGAAGGGCTTGCAATGTCTCGATGGGTGCGAGGCTTGCCGGAAGGCGCGGGCCCGGTGTGAGAAGTGCGTCTGATTTCTGGCTTCGTCCGTGCTCTTGCTAAACACAGCACGCGGTTGCTTCTCCACTACAGGGAGGGCGATGCATGCAAGCGTTGCGTAGCAGAGGGGATCGAGTGTGTTGAGGACGTTTCGCTGCCGCCTACTGTTGGATCCGAGCCCGCCAGCCTGTCAGAGAGAGTCAAGGCCGCCTGCCAGAGCTGCAGGAATGATAACAAGAAGGTGTCTGGAACAAGCCGTAGCGCTACTCGGCGGCTGACTTCTTATGTTCAGTGCGACGATCAGCGGCCTTGCGCCCGGTGTGTCTCACGTTCGGAGACCTGCGTCCCGGCAGTCCTTTCACCCCGGGAGCCCGGCCGGCCGCGCTGCGACGAGTGCCGGAAGCAGAACGCTCGTTGCGAGGAGGGACGTCCGTGCTCGACTTGCGTTGCGGCCAATGTCGATTGCAACACCACTGGAGTCCGCCAAGCGGTGCGAACCACCGGGACGCGTGTCAAGGCCGTGAGTATCTTCGTTCGCTCGTCTTTTCAAATCTCTGAGACTGCTCCTCAGGCATGTACGAGTTGTCGGTGAGTTTGGTCGTGCCCGTTGTTTTCAAACTACAGTCTTACTCGATCCTAGACGCAACAAAGTCCGCTGTGATGGCAGTCGGCCGTGTGGACCGTGTGGACGTCGCAAGTCCGAATGCCGGGACCAACTGTGCCGTAATTGCGCTAAAGACGGTGCCGAGGTGTGCAATCATCGAACGCGCCTTGCACGTGAACGTGCGCCTTGCCCCGCTGCTTGCACATATTTGACACTTACCCACAATGGTTCGTAGCAACGACGCGGCCCCGTGCGCCAGCTCAGCCTCAGGCCTCGTCGTCGGGAACTACGCTTCCTCCCATCCAATCGGTCGTCTCCGGGCCTGCGTCTGGGCCACAGCCACCCGCTGGCGGCTACTACATCCTGCCGTGGCCGGTGGCTCCAGGCTCCCATCCTCCGCCGTTCCCTGTCCCGTTCGGCCAACCGATCGCTGCCCCCTCCGATTCTCGAACTTGAATATCTGGGTATCTGTACTGTATCATGGACCTTCTGTTGTAGACCTTACGTTGGGTGTAGTGTTGTCTGTTTGTTTCTTGTCTGTACTGGGCTTTTGTTTTTGAACCTCAATCATTCCGAAAATCTAAGTGATGGTATGCTACATTGTGTTTACTAGAGCGCATGTCAGCGGATCAACGACTGGATGCACGGACACACTCACAGTGATGACGGTGGGCTTGTCGACCCCCAAATAGTGCTTCAGCTTGCTCAGCTCGAGTGCAACCTCGATCAGACCTTTGAGACCCTCAGCGGCATCGGCCTTGAGTGCAGCCTCCCCAGCCTCAGCCGCAACATAGCGCTCGACGTACATGCGCACAGTGGCGCCCTGACTGCCGGTACCGCTGAGCCGGAAGACAACACGTGAGCCATCGGAGAAGGTGATGACCTGTCCCTGGTTCTTGGATAGGGAGTGGTCGATGGGGTCGGTGTATGCGAAGTTGTACAGTCCAGATACAGTGAAGTTGGTTCCCGTGGATGCAGACGCATGAGTCGTGTTGTTGAACGAGCCACTCTCGAGGGCCTTGTTGAGGTTGGCAACAAGCTCGTTGGCACCCGCGGAAGGCACCTCCTCGTAGTCGTATCGGCTGAAGTATGACCGTCCATAGATGGTGTAATGCTCCAACAAGATGTCGTTGATCCCGACCAGCTTGTTCGGCGACTTAGCGTTGGCCGCCGCAAGGATGTTCAGCCATGCTACCATACCGGTCAACGAAGCTCGGGTATCCCAGTCTAGACGCACCCATGATAGCCCAGAGACCATCCTTCTCCCGAATGTGGTCCGAACCCGTTCCAAACGACTCTTCACCGCAAATAGAAAGTCTTCCAGCGTCCATGAGGTTGCCGAAGAACTTCCAGCCTAGAAAGCATCCTCAATACAATCCGCGGGACCAGCTCGGCAGCCATGCGTACCAGTGGGAACCTCAAAGTACTCGAAACCCTTCTTCTTTGCCACGAGATCGATAGCCTTGCTCGTCGGCATGCTGCGAGCCAATCCCTTCACGCCACCCTTCTTGAAGTAGGGAATCGTGTCGGCCCAGTCAGCGATGATGGCGACCGAATCGGACGGCGTCACGAACGCGCCCTTGCCGTAGATCATGTTGCGGTCGCCGTCGCCGTCACTCGCAGCACCGAACGGAATGCCGTGCTCCTCGACCGCCTCAACAAGGCTGTGCGCGTAGGTCAAGTTGGGGTCGGGGTGTCCTCCGCCAAAGTCCGGAAGCGGAATGCAGTTCTGCACGGACGTTTTGGGGAGGCCGAGGACGTCGATGAAGATCGCCTTGGCGTACGGGCCAGTCACACCGTGGAGACCATCGAAGAGGACGGGGAAGTCGTTGGAGTGGGAAGACAGGAACGACTTGATGAGTGGGAAGTCGAAGATCGATTCGAGGAGAACGACATAATCAGCAACTGAATCGATGATCTGCACCTTCGAAGGTCCGTACGAGACTTCACCAATAGTGGAAAGGTCGACCTGCGCACGTTCGTCAGTGCATCGTGTCGCGTCGGAATCATGAAAATGTTGCGCACCGGGGCAGCCTCGATAACCTTGTACGACGTGATCGTCTTGGTCTTCTCGTAGATCTTATCCGTGACATTTTCGGGCGCAGGCCCACCGTTCGAGACGTTGTACTTGATACCAAAATCGTTGTCGGGGCCACCCGGATTGTGGCTGGCCGTGAGCAGGATACCACCATAGGCCTTGTACTTGCGGATGATGTTCGAAGCAGCTGGCGTGGAGAGGATCGAGTCTTTGCCGACGATGAACTTGGCCACACCGTTGGCGGAGCCAATCTTGAGGATCGTCTGGACGGTCTCAGGGGAGAAGAAACGACCATCGCCACCAATGACAAGCGTCGCGCCCTTGGGCTCGATCGAGTCGAAGATGGACTGGACAAAGTTCTCCGTGTAGTGCTGGAGATGGCATTAGAGAGTGCGATGAAGGACGCGTCAGGGATGGGCTAACCTCCTGCTGGAACACCTTCACCCTATGAGGCGCGTTAGTTGATGGCCAAGGGCACGACAGAGGGGGCGAGATCGACAAACCTCTTCCTCAGACCGGACGTGCCAGGTTTCTGGCCGTCGAAGGGCTTCGTGGGGATCTCCTTAATAGTGTGAGCCATGGTGAAGAGTGGGTATACTCGGGGAATTGGGGTTGATGCCACTTTATATCAACGCGAATTGCCGCGATGATGTCAAAGTTTATGCGCGTGGATCTCGTCTGTAAAGCGGCGACCCTAGCTTCGAACAACTTGTTCAGGCTTGTTCGTTGAGCTAGAAAATTGCGATCCGTCCGGCTCAGGTACGGCACTGATAGCCCTGGAGATTCGTATATGCATGTCCCGTCCACGCACGTTGAATGGTGACTGTATGATATACTTAGGCACAGGGAGGGACTTCAAACTATGTCTGATTGCCGTGATTGCCAGATGATGCTATCATATACATTTCCGTCATTCGAATTACAAGATTGCCTACGCTGTCAAGGGGTATGACTTGTACTCGTCAGCCTGTTGACTGCTATATCTTCTGGACATCCTTCCCTATAAACTTCCTGTCCTGATCGCGGAGAATGGCGACAAATGTGTATTACAGGGACTGTTTCCGAGGTCACAACTGCAATCACTGACACATCAATAATGATGTCTCGGCATATCACGCGCGGAAATGATGCTGCATGGAAAGGCACGAAACCATCAGGGACAAACTGTCCCTGTCACTGCGATCCAGAGTGAGTTGTCAGAGATGAATGAATGCACATCGCACGGGCATCGTTTACATTTCGGGCGTCATCATCGTTGGTAGGCAAATGTCTCATATGCTATGATACAGGTATACATTGTAGTACACATTGCGAGTGCTGAGCAGTCCGGAATCATGATTTGTCATCAGTAGTAGTTTTCGCAGCCTGGTTGTCAGTCTTGGTCTTGGTCTTCGCCTTCGCCTCCCGCTCCGAATTGACCCAGGCCGCGGCATCCTGCACTGCCTGGTGCGGGCGGATTTTGTGTGTCATCAGATAGCCCTGCAAGGCTGCCATGGACAACTCTCTCTCAGGGATCGCATCGGCGAATCGCTCGGCCAACCGCGTGATCTGCTTCTTCTGCAGCTTGGGCGCGTGTTCACGGTGGGATGTGCCAAAGAAGACAGGCTTTTCAGGATCAGGAGTGGACCCATCTTCAGACGGAGTCGATTCGACCTCTGCATCGGTGTTGGACGTCGAGTTGTAGCCCGAGTCATCGTCAGCTTCCCCTTCTTTCTCAGCTTTCTCATCAGCCTTGGGAGACTTGGAAGACTTCGAGGACTTGTCGCGTTCTTCAGGCAGGTAGAACGAGTAGAACAACTTGCGCGCCTGGTACTTGCTGGCCAGCCGAAACTCGACGTGAATGTCCATCCTGCCCGGCCGGCAGAGAGCAGGGTCAAGCGACTGGTACTTGTTTGTCGTCGCATAGAGAATACGTCCTTCCTGAGCTGAAACCCCATCTATCGCATTCAGCAGACCACTGAGACTGAGTCGACTGGTGGTGGGTGGTGGCGCCGCCGTGGGAGGAGGAGGTTTGCCCTCGGTTCCTTCAGAATCATTCTCCGTACTTTGGACGGCATCGCGATTCGTGATGCTCTGCGTGAATGCTGCATCGATATCCTCCATCAATGCGATGCACTTCTCTATAGACACGCATTTAGCAATGGTGTTATCCAGGTACTAATAGATCTACGCACCAGGCAAGTTGGAGATCAGTTCACTCAGGGACGAGTCGTCGAGTCCCACACGTGACAATGACACGATGTAGACATCCAATCCCAGTTCACCAGCGATGCTAGAGATGATTGATGTCTTGCCAGAACCAGGGGCACCATACTAAAAATACAATCCCAGTCAGTCAACAAAGCAAGAGCGGGATTTGAGAGGACGTACCAGCAGATACCCACGTCTAAAAGGAATACCTCTGTCAGCATACCAGGACTTGCTGTCAAGGAAATCGCGAGCATCTTCAACCAGAAGCTCAGCAACACCAGGGTCCAGGAAGATAGAATTCTGTGCACAGTTGAAGATAGATCTTGCATGTCGAAAAAGAAGTGGCGCACCAGGCTCCGTTTGGGACGCGAGGCCACATGGCGCCAGCTGTTACTCGAGTCGGAGATATAGACAGAGATGAACTGCTCCTCCGCCGCCATGTACTGCTTTTTAGCTTCCAGGAGAAGCTCGTTCAGAACCCGGTGCGAACGGGCCATGATGCTGAACAATCTCGTTCAGCATGGCATTCTGATATAGAGCCGCAGTGCATGACAGACCTGATTTCGAGGCTGTCCTCGGTCTTCCCATAGTATCCCGTCTTAGACTGCACACGTGAGATAGCCATGTATCGGTGATGGTACCACATGGAATACGATGTTGACGGGGAGGGCAGGTATGCGAGCCTGCGGGTGGAGAGCTGCGACAAGTTCTTCTCGTCTTCCTCTCCTTCGATCAAGACCGCATTGCTGTTCAGCCCAAAACTTCTCGTGGAGATTTCAACCTCGCGCGCTTTCGCTGAAAACAGGATGAGCGCGAGATCGCTAACAGGAACGAGGAAGGAGACGCACACCACGACGGCTGCTTGGACAGCCATACCATCATCCAATCGTAGCTGCTATCGTTCTCATCGAACCGCGCCGTGATCCAGAAGGAGGCGATGGCTTTGTAGTACGTGGCAAACGCCACTCGACGTAACGTCTCCAGCAGACTGCCGAAGATCAGGATCTTGACCCAGTCTCGGAGGGCGCCAAAGGAGAAAAGCAAGGCGACCAAAGACGATAGGTCTTTCACACTCGCGAAACTGGCCAGATTGAGGCCCGCCGCCGAGGTCCCATTCGTCGCTGCGTCCGCGTCGGTGGAGTTGACCACATTGCCGTTCAAAGCCGACAGGACTTGTTGCGCGAGGTGGGCGTATGAGGCCAGGATTGGAAGAAAGATGAGGTAGGTTGAAGGTGAAGGGACGAGGGTTCCGCAGTGATATATGAGCGCTGCGAAGCAAAGGGGGCGGTACCGGGAAGCGTGACTCGAGAAGACGAAATCTTCCTTTGTTTTAATGACTCGGGATAGAAAGATTTGCCCGATTGGGAAAATAAGCTGTGCGGTTGGCAGCCAAGGAAGTGGTGAAAGGAAAGACGAAACCGTCTGAGTGGTAACGATAAGTGCATGATGGGCGCGCGCAAAAGGTGCGCAGATCAGAATCTTCGCATCGCTCTGCCATTGACGGCGCGCGGTGTACAGTGCCACTGTGACGATCACTGATTAATATACGTCACGTCACAGTCGCGTTCCCTTTCACCTTGCCAAAATTGAACATGGTGAACCAGGTGTCATCTCTGGACCTCACACACGTACTGTGTAGCGTCTAGCTTTACTCCCCTAGAAAACCTCTTGTAACGCGTCTCCCCGCTTCCACAGATGATGACTCGTCCTTCCTCTCATTGGGTCTCGCGCTGGTCACTCTGAGTCCGATCCTTCTAATGGTGAATGACTCGTCATGAAGCACTCGCGTGGCCTTGACTCTACGTTTCATGTATAGCCCGCATATGCAGCGCTGGCGCTCCAGACGCGTGAATATGTGATCCTCGTCATGTGGGCGGGGCAGTTTGCCGGCGAGGCTCTGAACCTTGTCTTGAAGCATGCCATCAAGGAGCAACGACCTTCGTGTGTGTTTCCAATTTGCGGTCTCAGAGGGCATATACTGATGCTCACCGTCGAGCCAGACAGTCTTGCAACTGGATATGGCTTTCCGTCCTCGCATAGCCAGTACATGGGCTACTTTGCGTCATTCCTCATGCTGCATCTGCACACCAGGCACCGATTTGCGTCGAGCGGTAACAGGCTGCTGGACAACGCGTGGCGGTTTGTGGTCTATACCGGAATCTTGGCTTGGGCGCTAGCGGTGGCGTATTCCCGGTACGGGCATCTGGCTCTCCTGCACACCGGTGCTGACGCAATGAGGGCAGGTATCATCTCCAGTATCACAGTGTGCCGCAGATCCTCTGGGGCCTCGGTATCGGCGCGTTTCTCGGGGTCTTTGTGTACACGTGTTCCGAGTGGGTACCACGTCACTGGCCGGAATCGACGCTAGGCCAGATCAAGGTATTCCTGCTGGAAAACCCGGTATGCACGTGGCTCCAGCTCCGCGATGGATGGGACGTCTGGGCAGACGGAGGAAGGGAGACAGAGTGGCTCCGTTGGAGATCTGAATGGGAAAGGCGCCGGCTGCGTCGCACCAAAGCTGATTGAATTGTGTTATCTCATCTGGATTAGAGTAGGTCATCGCTGCAAATCTGCCTCGTGAATTTCGACCAGACTTCAGTGACTTGAACAGAACATTTCGGTGCATCTACAAAGTTTGAGCTCCAGTGCACCGCACCTTCCAGTCTCAACTTTTATGCAAATGCATTGTGACTTGACTCGGCATCACTCACCGCGTATAGTTCCTTTCCGACCGACTTGACCGACATTCTTATATCGTGGGGCTACCTCGATATTCCCAGTCAGTGTTCTGCCTCGCTGTCTGCTATTGGCCTGCTAGCTTCTCGACCGACTTTCAGCCTTTCGGATACTCCGTTTACTAGAACGTTCTCCGCAGCTCCAGATCTTCGAGTCTGTCTCACAAAACGTTACTCTTCCGAGACTGCAAGCCTACAGAGTCCGCTTTTACAGAGCCCGCTCTAACCTTTCTATGTGCGGTCGCCGTACTTGCACCGACCAGGGACAGACAGCACCCGCCCTTGATTACCTGCCGAGACGGGATTTCGCGTAAGCATCTGGGCTCGACCCGACTTCCGCCGAGTGCGAGAGCCGCCGTGTGCAGCCTGGATGTTCATCTCCCCTGGTCCACATAGTCCGGGTCGGAGATCACACGATGGTGACTTGAGGGTATAAGCATCTCCACTTGATAATCGACCAGGCCAGAGCGGTGGTGTCATCTGTATGTCGTCTCATTTTCGGACAAATCAATGCGCTATATATGAACAGGTGGGAGTGGTCAGCATCGGCACAGAACGCAAAAATGGCGATACTCCCCCGTCCCAAGAACGTCGGCGTCCTGGCTATGGACATGTACTTTCCACTCCGCGTTCGTGCTCGAGTATCTGTGCATCGTGATCTCATCTGTCTCTTCTTCTATAGTGCATTTCCGAAGCTGAACTCGAGGATTACAATGGCGTTTCCAGGGGCAAATACACGATCGGCTTGGGCCAGGAATTTATGGCTTGGGCCGACGACCGAGAAGACATCAACTCATTTGCACTCAATGGCACGTCATCCCGGTGCAATTCATGGCCACTCTGTACTCACCTCAAATCAACTCTTCCAGCCGTATCCGGGCTGCTGGAAAAGTACAAAATCGACAGACGGTCTATCGGGCGGATCGACGTCGGCACCGAAACCATCATCGACAAATCCAAGTCCGTCCAGTCCGTGCTGATGAGCCTCTTTGCCGAATGCGGCAACCACGACATCGAGGGGATTGACTCGAAGAATGCATGTTACGGATCCACAGCCGCTCTATATAACGCCATCAACTGGATCGAGTCCTCCTCGTGGGACGGACGCAATGCGATCGTCGTCGCAGGGGACATCGCGGTCTACGCGGACGGGAGCGCAAGACCTGCGGGAGGGGCGGGCGCAGTCGCGATGCTGATTGGGCCCGATGCGCCAGTTGTCTTCGATCGTGAGCTCAGCATTTTTCCAGCTGGGGATGCTCTTCATTCATCCTACATGCATTGCAGCGGTGCACGGATCATACATGGCCGACACGTACGATTTTTACAAGCCGGAACTTGCGTCCGAGTATCCCCATGTTGACGGACCGGGCTCGATCGCGACATATCTGCAAGCCTTCGATGCCTCCTACGCCTGCTTCAAGAGGAAACTGGCCCACCAGGGACATCATTTCTCGCTGAAGACGTAGACTACGCCCTTTTCCACAGCCCTTACGGGAAGCAGACAGTCAAAGGTCACGCCCGGATGCTCTACAACGACTTCCTCGCCGACCCTGGCGCACCGCAGTTCGCAGCCGCGCACGCGATTGACTACAGCATGTCGCCGATGGAGAAGCACGTCGAGAAATTGTTCATCGAGATCGGAAAGCCCTCGTTTACTGAGAAAGTCGATCCGACAATGGCTTGTTCCGGCGCCTCGGCAATCTCTACACGGGCTCGCTCTATGCTTGTCTCGCATCCTTGCTTCTCGGTCGCTCCCGCAGACCTGCTCGGCAAACGCGCGAGCTTGTATGCATTTGGGGGCGGCTGCGCTGCCAGTTTCTTCCACACTCAAAGCGTCGGGGATACTTCCGAGATACGGCAGAGGATGGATCTGCTCAACAGGCTTGCGAGCATGAAGGTCGTCTCATGCAAAGAGTTTACCGAAGGCCTGCACGTGAGTGATCTGCAGTCCAAGTAGCATGGCATGTCATTGAACGAGTGCTTTCAGCGGCGGGAACTGCATTCCAACGCATCATCCTACACGCCTGTGGGCTCGGGTAGACACATCTCGCCGGTGCCACTATTGCACAGCGTCGACGACAAGTTCCGGAGGAGATATGTCAGGCATAGAATAGAGTAAACTAAACAGAAACCTAATCGCCGCTGCTCATCTCCAGAAGAGC